CATCCTAATATAAGGATCAAGAGGATGACTCTTATGGTAAACAAGCAGATGATAGAAAATGAAGATTATGAAGATAGATAATGACTGATCACCAATTTGAAGAGGTTAAGATTATAGTGTCCAGGGAAGTATCCACATGGGAGTTGGTTCCACAAATAGCAGTTCATGGAAAAAAAAAACTCTCTCAAAGTGGAACTTTCTCATGGTATTTGGAATAAGGGAGAAATGAGAGTGATTCAACTCCATGGAAGTAGCATAGCATGTGTTAGTTGTAAAGATCTGAACTGGTTGCACTAAAGAATGGTGCTTATCTAAACATCTGCCATAGGAATAACAGAGTAACGATAGGCTTGCAACTTTGTGTCTGTGGGGAAAAGACACTGCAGAGTAGTAAATAAGTCCTCCCCAACAAAACTGTGTAAACAATTTTGTACCCTATCAAGGCTGGAAAGTGAGGATTGAGCAGCTCCAGCCCAGAAATGCCAGCAATACACCATTATAGGTCTAATCCAATTCTTTAAAAGATCTGATAAGAGGGACATACAAAAATGGCAGAATGAGCTATTTTTCTAACATCTCTAACAATGGATCATATGAATTCCACTTGAGATCGTTTTTTTTATTTTTTATTTTTTTTTTTTTTACATTGATGTTCACCCTATCCAAGGTCCGAGAGCCACTCAAGGGAGAGGGTTACAGAGTACGAGGCACATTTTATGAAGTTAATTTGCAGTGTTAAACCTGCACTCAGTTTGCATTAAAAATTTCCCAAATACTTACATTTATGTGTAACTGTATATGCTCCATTTAAATCTGGCTTGATAAATTTGATAAAATCTACCATTTTGGAGTTATCAACAGTGGAATTTGGGATTCAATCATGTCATTGGCAGCAGCCATTACTCACATTGTTTGCATATATTCGTTGTGGAAAGCTAAACATAGAAGACTACGTAAAGCTAAGCTCGGAACTGATCTTTCTTGTCTAAATTTGTCTGTTACTGCGCACAAGAACTATTTACGTAGACACACTCAGTTTGCGCAACAATACCTACACTGATAACTATTCTGCAGCAAATGTATGCAAACAATGCCAGTAATGGCTGCTGCAACGTGAACGAATCCAAACTTTCACTGTTGATAACTCCAAAACAATAGATTTTATCAAATTTATCAAGCCAGATTCAAATGGAACATGTACAATTACATAAATTTAATTATTTTGGAAATTTTTCATGTGAACTGAGTGTGGGTGTTACACTGCAAATTAACCGTTTATGAAAAAAGGTGGAGAAGATAATGGTTAATCCTAAACTTGAACAGGTTAAAATTGTTGTAATCAGAGAAAACACCCTCTTCAGAGTCAGTTCCACAGATTAGCAATTCATAGAAAGAAGCTTGTCAAGTGAAACTTAATCTCACTAATAGAATACAAAGGGAGTGAAGGTGGTTTGCTACAATGTGTGTAGTATAGCGGGTCGTAGGTATGAAGATTAGATTTGATAGAACGAAGGAATGTACTTCATCTGAGCACTTTACAGTGGAATAGGAATCTGGAGTGAAATTTAAACACCAAAAACATTGTTCTATTGGATTAATATCTGGAGAGGCTGGGAAACCCAGACATTCATTTTGTGTCTTTGAAAACTTTTTTGGCAAGGTGGGCAATAGTCAACTTTACAGAATGTGAAGGAGCATTATCTTGCATGAATAAACTCTTATCTTCTTGGCTGTGACCTCTAACACTCAAAACATTTCTTGCCCAAGAACTTAATTTTCTGCATTTATCATTGAAAGAACCTATAATTTTATAAATTTAACACAATATTCCAGATACCTGAATAAATTATTATTTCATTATTTTACATGTTAATATAGTCTCTTTGATATTCTATCACCTTCATCAGTTTCTCAACCATTGATTTTATCAACTTTTCTAGTATTTCAACTTTAATATTACTAGCAGCAGTTTTTACTGCTTCCTAGGGATCTTTGTCTGAATATTGTTTTTCCTTCTCACATAGATCTTTATCTACTGGATTAATATCTGGAGAGGCTGAGGGCTAATACATTCATTTTGTGTCTTTGAAAATTTTTTTGGCAAGGTGGGCAATAGTCAACTTTACAGAATGTGAAGGAGCATTATCTTGCATGAACAAACTCTTAGCTTTTTGGTTGTGACCTCTAACACTAAAAACATTTCTTGCCCAAGAACTTAATATTCTGCATTTATCTTGACACCATCCACTTTGAAAGAAAATTTTATTGTTTACTGTACTAGCTCAAAGAATTACACTCATTCCCTCTGTTATTTCCTCAAATGCAGCCATCAGCTCCATCCAATGTAGGTCTACATTCATTAAATATGATTGAGAAATAAGTTTTCTTTGCTTTCATGTCTTTAGTCAATGTTATTAATAATTTGCAGCTTTTTTTCCCCTCTCTGTCTTCGTTTGTAACACAAGCCTCTTCAAATAGATTTTTGTTAAATCTCTTTTTGTGGCAGATATTGTAAAGTTATTGAGTGATGGGAATTGAACATTGGAAATTGTGAAAAAGTTGAACCAAAATCTGAGAACAATCAAAAAATGGAATTGAAAATATTAGCAAAATAAGAACAAGAAAAAAAGAACTGGTTTTAAGAATGTCACAAAAAGAAATCTGAGAAAAGCTAATGAGCAAGAAAAAAATTGATTGACAAACAGGAAAACATTTGAATACCTACATAGAGGTATGTATATCCTGAAAATTTCTCCAACAATGGTTGATAAATTTTTATTGGGAAAACATTAACTTGCAGAAGGGTTCCTACAGATTTGTGCCCACAAAATTCCAGGACTTTTCTAGAACTATGTTAAGAAGTTTCAAGTTTTAAGAATGTCACAAAAAGAAATCTGAAAAAAGTTAAAAAGCTTATGAGCAAAAAAACATTTGAAGCTACACAGAGGTAACAATATCCTGTCAATGTGTCCAATATTGCAAACAGTCTCTCACCAACTTTTCTAGTATTTCAACTTTAACATTACTAACAGCAGTTTTTACTACTCCCCAGAGATTTTTGTTTGAAAACTGTTTTAACTTCTCAGATCTCTTTTAATGATAGACTACAAGTTTTTTATTGGATTAATATCTGGAGAAGCTGGGGGGAGGGGACGGCCAATATATTAACTTGGTACCTTTGAAAATTTTTTTGGCAAGGTGGGTTATAGTCAGCTTTACAGAATGTAATTATCTTGCACAAATAAACTCTTTTAGCTTGTTGGTTGTAACCTGTGACACTAAAAACACTTCTTGCCCAAGAACTAACAATATTTCTTTGCATTTATCTTGATGCCATCATCGACTTTGAAAGAACCTATTTTGTATCTGTCTATATTTCTCAGATGAGGTATTATGTATTATGTACACTATTTACATTATTCAAACTATTGTCCTCATCTTTGTCGCCATATTTATCACGTTTCGGCCCTTCAGTATCCATCTATATTTCTGAGATGTATTATTATGCATTATGTACACTATTTACATTATTCGAACTATTATCCTCATCTTTGTTGCCATATTTATTACAATGTTTCAGCCGTTGTACACTCCAGACTTCTTCATGTAGTTGGAATGTCGAACTGAACCCTTTATTTCACTCACTGGGGTAGACTGTTCTAGTTCTACTTGCCATGTTATAATGGATGCCAGTTGTCAGTTATCTCCTGTTAATTCCCCCTCCAACTTCTCCACTGCCTTAATCAGGTATTGAACTCACACTCTTTGGATCCTGTCACTGGATCGAACTAACCTAATTGTGCCATGTGTCCTCAAGAACTTGGAGAGGGGAATTAACAGGAGATAACTGACAACTGACATCCATTAAAACATCACACGTGGAACTAGAACAGTCTACCCCAGTGAGCGAAATAAAGGGTTCAGTTTGACATTCCAACTACCTGAAGAAGGCTGGAGCATACAACGGCCAAAACGTAATAAATATGGTGACAAATATGAGGACAATAGTCTGAATAATGTAAATAGAACCTATTTTATTCCTTACAATCCTAAAACAAAACATAATTCCACCCAAACTTTGTTTTCTAAATCAGAGTGGTTGACTCAAGCTCAACCAGTGCAAATTCATCATTAAAATTTCTTCTTTTATGGGCCATGTACCTTCAAGATGTTGGTGATCATGGCTCTCCACAATTTCCTGTCCATTGTAGCTCTTAATAAATTTTGTATTTTTCTTATCCCTCCTAAACATTGTTCTGTCATCCATTCAATCAAGCTCATTCTTCCTCTTCGATGTGCCATGTTGGTGATCGTGGCTCTCCACAATTTCCTGTCCATTGTAGCTCTTAATAAATTTTGTATTTTTGCAATCTCTCCGAAACCTTGTTCCACTAGGTAGGTTATGTGTTGTTTTCCTCTGAAACTCTTGCCTTCAATCTATCCTGAACATATCAAATTTTCCAAAACCTTTTCCTCATTATGTGGTGTACAAATTGCAACTCTTCATGATAAGTATAAATATCCTTTTTGTTTCCCTTTTCTCAAAAACTTTGTTGTTGCTCACATGTTCAATCCATGGTATTCTCAGCATCCTTCTGTAGAACCGCATTTCTGTTGCTTTAAGTCTCTTCTTTATCTATGAGGAGATTGTCCAACATTCACTGCTATATAAAAGGACTGATATTACAGAAGAGTTCATTTCTCTTTTCTTTGTTTCTAATGGAATTTTCCTGTGTCTTAATGCTTTGCTTAACTTTTGGAAGGTATCTTTCACTATTCCAATGAACCTTCAGATATCAGTTTCACCTTTTCCATCAAAACCCTTCCCAAATATTCACATTCTTGTACTTGTTTGAATTTTACTGTTGAAAATTCATTTTTTATTAACTTACAAATTTAGATTTTGAGACATTGACTTAGAGGTGCTCATTTGATTACTTTCATATCTTTAGTCAACATTAATATTCTGAATCTTTTCTCTCTTCTTAAGTTTGTAACTCTGGCCATATCACATTGAAACACAGGTTCCCATATGACTACTGAAGTTAAGCAACATCAAGTCTGGTTAGTACTTAGATGGGTGCCAACTTTGGAATACCAGTGTCTGTAAGGATTAATTAGTAAGGACTTGTATCACTAAATCATTATTATCTCAGAAAAAAAATTTTTACAATCTAAAAATATATTCTGGCTTCAAATAACCTTCAAAAGGTTGATAACCCATAGAAAATGTGTGGTATAATGGATAAGGGCTCAGAATTGTTCAACAGAATGACAAGTTCCACTTCCAGGTGGGTTTGTTATATTCACTTATGTGCAAATACCCTTGAGAAAGGTATGAATCCAACTCTTCTCCCCCATATATGGGTTAATTGGTAAAACTTGTATCAATAAATCATTAATATCTAAAACAAAAAAAAATTCCTAGAATCTAAAAATATTTTCTGGCTTCAAATAACCTGCAAAGGGGCCATCAAAAATGAATCAATCAACATTCATAACTCCAGCTTCTTCAAATATTTTCTTGCTTATTCCTCTTAATTTTTCTCAAATATCTTTTGACAATATTCTTTAACCCATTTTTCTTTTCTTGATCTTGCCAATGTTTTCATTTTCTTTTTTTCATTGTTCTATGACCTCACTTCAACATTGTCTTCCCACCAATTAACATAACATTACAATATCTTATTTCTGTATTATGTGAAAATTTTTCTGATGACCTGTAACAATCTTAGTATACATTTGAAATTGAAAATTAAATATCAATAACTATACAATATGAACAGTTACATAGTAAAAATGCACACACCCAAATAAGTCCTTGTAAATATTTCTACTTAAAATTCAGATAATATGAAGATGAAATTTATATGGTTTTGATCTATATTGTGACAGAGAGAGAGCCTGGGAAATACACACACACACACACACACACACCCAGGTATATTTTTTTTTAGTGAAATTGGAGTAGATTTGAACAGCGAAATTAAATCAGAGCATTTTGTTTACTGATGGGGAAATTTGATCTTGGACAGAAGTTGTACCCATTGAATCTGGGTCATCAGGAGACAATGAAAATGGTTGAAATAATTTTTATTGATTAAAAATTAAAATAGAGCTGAGTAAGCTAGAAGGAACATTGGAATTCACATGATTTTGGTTGAAGCAGCCAGAACCCGTGATAATCACGTGCAAAGTGGTGGGGCCAAGGGTCAGTTGTAGTCAGGCAGGTTTGTCTACATAAACACATGGTTGTGCTGAGGAAGACAGATGAGAGAAAAATTCTTGAAGATAGAAGAGAGAATTGGCCCGGGTGAGCGTTGGGAGGAGGAACGCCACTATAACTTTAAGCCCCGCACAGAAATCTTTATCCCTCTATTGCAAGAGTCATATATCATTCTGAGATGATTTAACAACAAGATAATCACATACTCTCTCTCTCTCTCTCTGTCTAGAATCCAGTGTATGAGTTTTGTTTTTTTTTTACTTTTCTTTTCTGTAACCCATTTCTCTTCTCTACTATTCTTTTCTGCTATAAAAAAGACATTACCAATTCAACCATTGAATCGATGTTTGTCCGGATTTCTGCTGATATTCATTTTTTTTGCTGCATTCTAAATTTCTTAGCGCAGACTCCCCCAGCTGTGTCTACATCTTCAGTTGACCGTGAATGGACGGACATCACTTCTGTTTCAAACATCAAACATATCACAACATGGACAGGGAGCAGGATTAAACCAATGGACTGGTCGAATAATCTACAGATGCTCAGGGGACTTATGACCACTCCCTTAAGTTCAGTTAGGACTGAGTAGACACCTCAACCCCGAGAGTAAGATACCGGAGGTTGAGGGGCCGGGGCGAAAGTGTTAGACTGGTACCCGTGACCAGGATAGACCTGTGGGAATTACCATGGCTGTCTGAAAGAGGAGAGAAGGTTGCATTTGTTTTGTCCAGTCGGGATCAAGTTAGACTAGAAAGGACTCTAGTCTTCGCACTATTTTGGTCTGAAAGAGACATAAGGAGGAAAAGAGAAGGAAGCAAAAGGAGGAGGAAAAAGAAAAGAAAACACGGAGTGGCGGACCTCAGGTGAGTCAGATATTATGAATATGAAATTTATATGGTTTTGATCTATATATCGTTTTAATAATTTTCCTAACATCAGTTGATTAATACCAATTTTATTGTGGAAACACCGGCATGCATTTCCTTCTGAATTTCTGGGATAAGGAGTTATTTACATGCAAACTATTGTCCTTATCTTTTTTGTTGTTATTACAATGTTTCAGCTGATATGCCCTCCAGCATTCTTCAGGTGTATATTGATCTAATTTCTGTCTGAATTTATAGGATGAAGAGTTATCAATATTTACATACAGATTATTGTCCTTATCTTTGCTGTTGTTATTACAATGTTTTGGCTGATGCACACTCTGGCCTTCATCAGGTGCATATAGACTCACCTACAAGAAATTCCAAACTGAACACTTTATTTAATCTATGTAGTAGACTGGAACTTTGAAAATTTACTAATTTTGTCTATAATTCTGAGATGAGGTATTGTAACTATTTACACTATTTACATTGTTCAAACTATTGTCCTCATCTTTATTGTCATATTCATAGCATTTCAGCTGTTATACGCTCCAGCCTTCTAACTAAATGGAAATAACTGAAACTGAGATATCCAGAAAAGGCATGGCATGTGGAACTAGAAGAATCTACCCAGTGGACGAAATAAAGGGTTTGGTTTGAAATTCCAATGTATATCACCTGAAGAAGACTAGAGCATACAACAGCTGAAACATTGTGAATATGACAATAAAGATAAGGCCAATAGTCTTAACAATTCACTAATTTTGGGATGATGAATTCAACAAAATAAGTCTATTCACTGTAACATCAATACACTTTATAATAGACACATCTTATTTTGAAAAATTTTGTGAAACTATGCAATTTTCAACTTGCCAAAAACAGAACAGTAATGACTATAAAATTTGTTTTTTTTTAAAAGGAAAACAAATACTTTATAATACTGTTTTGAACATCTTCAGTTTTAAACTAATAGAAAAGACTTTCTGGGCATTGTGAATGGTTGTCCTGCACTTCCTCTCCTTATGGCGATTTGCTGGTTGAATTTCCTTACACGTCTCTGATATGGCTAATATTTCTGGAACACTCCATATCCACTTATCACTTGAAGCTGGCATCACATTAAAGTCCTATCTGAAGAAAAATTTTGATTCCACTTCTGCAATATCATCTGACAAAGGCTGTCAGAAATAATCATTTCTATTCTTATTTGGAGCCGAAAACTTCATATCACAGCACTAGATGCAATATCAATGACTTGGCCAAGTTAAAAGCTCTAGTCATAATATACTGCAATTCATTGGCCTTGGTGCTTGTAACTGAAGGTCACCTGTGGTGGTCCTATTTCATCACAACTGCTAAAGTTGTTTAAATACTCAGAATCACTGAGTGCTTTTTCTTCTTTTCTTTGTCTTAGAGGTGGAGATGAATTAATTGATTTTTCCTATTGTTAAGTAGTTGCTGAGATTTACTACCACTGGTGTTGATCTTGACACCTAAGAGAACCTTCAGATATCTAAGTTGATCTTTCAATGCTTCCAAAGCTACTCCATGACACTAGGTGTTCGTCTATTAATAGACTTAACAGGACCACCACATTTGATGATTGAGTTAATGATTCTGTTTCTCAGTAACAGCTTGATACTCTTTCCTTGTTTGGCTTCTCATTTTTAGAAATCCTTTCTCATATATGAAATTTCTGAAGTACTTCTTGTTGCTTGTGTCTTTGTCACAGATGTTTCTTGAAATGCCAAAAACTGATTGCCTCTCAGTTGATTGATGAGAAAATGATGAAGGTCATCTTTTTGCTTTTCTGTTCATTTTTATTTTTTATTTTTTTTTTTTTTGGTCAGTTTCATCCCAACTTTCAAATATTGGTAACACATTTACATTTTTAAATTTTGAGAAAGTTTTTTGCACTTTCATAAACGAAGAATCTCTGAAGATGTTATTTGATTAAAAAAATAAGTTGAAAGGTTTTTCTGAACAAATTTTTAAACTAATTTTTCCTTTGTCATGCCATAATGGTAACATTTATCTTTTAGCACTCAATACCCCCCACCATTTTAAAATCAAAATGGTTTCATTGATGGATATTACACAGACATTAAATTTGTCCAGAGTTCCTTTTCTGTATTCTTTTTTATTTTTTCTGTGTTCCTTCAGAACATAGGCAATCATGGCTCTCCACAACTTTCTGTATTTTTTAGCTCTTAACACTGTTTTCTTTTTTTACTAATGTAATGTTTTGAAGAATCTACAGATTTTTATTTAAACTTATAAACTTGTGTACCATTGTTGTCAAAAAAAATATTCTTTGATCTTTTATCTCTACAAGTATATTTTTTAAATCATCCCATGCAAGGCAGTAAAGCCACTAAGACACAAGAGGTTACAGGATATGAAAGAATTAGGAACAGAACATTAATAAGTGGGAAGAGAAAAGAGTAATCAGGAGGACAGTAGATAGCAACTGACATTGCATTTAAATTTTTGCAGATTAAAGATGGCTGGAAAGCATGGATCCAGAAAGGAGCTCCACAACTGAGAAATGTGTGAAAAGAAACTCTTAGCATTGAATTTACGGTTAGATCAGGCCAGCTCCACTGTAAATTGACAAGATCTCAATGCCAGTCGAGTACTGCGCTTAAATTAAGTGCTTGAAGTGATCATCCGAACAATTATCATGAAACTATTTATAGAAAAGACAGACAGACAACCATATGGTGGCGGGAAAGTGACTGAAGCTGAGCAGGACCAATAATATTGCTGATTCTTCATTGGATTTTATCAAGGAACTCAAAGTAAATATCAGGGGCACCGAACCATATGTGGCAGCAATATTCTAAACATGGACAAATGGTAGACTTATAGTGATGTAAGATAGATTCTGGTGAGAAAAATTTTACAATGCAGTAAACCAACTTTCTTAGTGGCTGACCTAGCAATGGATTCAATATAGTCTTTCAAATTCATGTCAACTGAGAACGTGTTATAGTGGAACACACCTATTCTATAGTTAATAGACTCTCCCACCTATAATAAGTAGGAGTAGTAAGAGTAGTAGTGGGTCACTCAGTCAGTTGATGCCGGACGACCGTTAGCCGGATACTAAAGTATCAGCGACCACAACTAGATTACTCTGCGTCATACCTATTATATGAAGTTCCTAATGTTTTGTACGTCGAACCTTTTTTAGGACCGACTTAGTACAAATACAAGCCTCCACTGTGAAATCACTCCATAACAAATTTGGGGACGAAAGATTCAAAGTCATATGGAGGAAAAAAAAAAAAATTCACCCGCCACAACAAATTTGGCTACGAGGGATTCGGATTCATAGAGTGGAAGAAGGAAAAAAAAATTTCGTTTGCCACAACATTTGGTGATGGAATTCGTACTCATACGGAGGAAAAAGAAAAAATTTGCTCGTCACAATTATTTCGGCGACAAAATCTCGTATTCACATTTAAAAAAAAAAGCAAACTTGGCAAAGTTTTTCAAAAGACAAGACGTCAACTTAGTGATGAAAAAATCTGTCGTATTCTCAACTGAGAAAAGAATTTTTTTTTCTCAATAAGACAGTTTTCTCAAATAGGTCACGAATTGCAAATTCAATAGGACCCCCCTCTACAATATTTAAGCATTGTGCAAACTTTTTGCGAAGATGGAAGAATGCAAAAATATATTCCAGGAATTTTTTAAGTTCCAGACAGAACAACAGATGACAATATTAGAGTAACAGAAGACATTCCAGATGCAACTACAGGAGGAAACTTTTAATAGACAAATGCAGTTTCAACGAGAAATGGAACAGATGCATAAGGAGTTTCAAAACAAAATTCTGGAAATAACTGAGAAGAGGAAAGAAAAAAAATCTACAAAATGATTCTTTCCCAGAGAATACAATATGGAATTCAATTGAAATATTCACATACAGTCCAGATGAAGAGATAACTTTTGAAGAGTATTATAAAAAATATACGGACATGTATAACGAGGACTGCCACTCGTGGTCTGAAGGAAAGAAGGTTAGACTTCTTTTAAGCAATTTAGGAACTGCTGAGCATAACAAATTGGTAAACTACATTTTACCGAAAAAAACTAGCGAGTTGACATTTACCGAGGCGGTAAATATATTAAGTGAATTATTTAGTAAAAAGACATCTTTGTTTCACAAGAGGTGGAAATGTTTGAATCTGATGAAAGATGACGAACAAGACTATATAACGTACGCAGCCAATGTGAATAAGCATTGTGAAGAATTCAAGCTAGCAGAGTTAAGCGCTGACAACTTTAAGTGCTTAGTGTTTGTTCAAGGCCTGGTATTGGAAAGAGATGCAGAGTTGAGAAAATTAGTACTGACAAAATTGGAAAACCACCCAAGGATTACGATACAGAGTTTGGTAGAAGACTGCACAAGATATGTTAGCGTAAAGAAAGATTCGAAAAAGATAGAACAGTCTGGCATTTTGCATATAAGGAAAATACGCTACAAAAAAGAAAGTCAGTCTACCAAAAAGAATTCTAAAATTGCGGATTATCAAACAAAAAGTGAAATACCAGAGAAAAATAAACAAAAACTCTCGAAGCCATGTTTTGCTTGCGGTGAACTTCACTGGTACAGATATTGCAATTTTAGGAATAAAAAAATGTTTCAACTGTGAAAGAGTGGGTCATAAAAGCTTGCACTGCAGGTCAAAAAATAAAGACAATAAAATAAGAAAATCAAAGTCCAACGAGGTGAACGATGGAATAACCAGAAAATTTGTTACCGTCGAAATAAGTAATAAAAAAATAAAAATGCAACTCAACACTGGTTCTGACCTATCTATCATAAATTTTCATATGTGGAAGAAGTTGGTGAAACCAACTTTAATGAAGACAAATAAAATCGCGAGGTCAGTGACGGAAGAAAAAAATACAATTTATTGGCAAATTTGTTACAAACGTCACGTTAAATAAAAACCGCGAAAAGCTAAACTATTTGTCATAGAAAATACCACGAACTTACTTGGTACAAATTGGATAACAGAATTCCAATTATGGGATCTGCCGATAAATTCTTTCTGTTACAAATTAGAAAATTTAAACTACGAAGCCCAAAAATTAGTAAAGAAACTTAAGGAAACATTTCCTACTGTTTTTTCTCCAGGTTTGGGAATGTGTACCAAGAGGGAGGCAAAATTACAGCCAAAAGAAAACGCTCAGGCGGTATTCAAAAAGAAAAGGAATGTGCTGTTTGCTTCTATTGAACAGATAAAGAATTGGACAGATTAGAGAAAACCGGTGTATTTAAAAAAGTTGATTGGGTAACACTGACGATATATGTGAAAAACAAGCTCCAGAAGGTAAAGATGAAACCGACACTGAGAAAAACTGGGGAGCGAGTTACCCGCAGCCAAGAACATGCAGTATTATTAAATGATTTAAGTCAACTGAAGTCACCACAGAAAACGTTAAGAAGCACAAGATCAACAAAAAGAGAAGCTAAAGGCTGAACAAATAGAACCACAAGAAGAACCTACAGAAACTGTGACTCCATCCTTAAGAAGCTCAAAGCGGAAGGTTGTTTCTGGTAACACTATGGAGGTACCAAAAAATAGAAAAGCGGATCGGCAATATGATGTACTTGGTGAAAGGCGAAAAATTCACGTGCAGTAACCAGATCAGACAACGTTTTTCAGACGGGGCTGACAGTGGTCCCACACCTATGGAGGTGATTTTCAATACGTTTGATCTAACAACACCTGCAACGATTTTACTTTAGGTACGCCGATCCAGAAGAAAAAGAAAGGCGACTGATCATTTAAAAGTGGATAAAAAACGTAGGAGATACGCTACGATGTTGCTTAAAAAAAAAAAAAAAAAAAAAAAAAAATATGAAGTTTTTTTTGTTGTTGTTTTTTCTTCATATTTCCTGTAAAAAATAAAAAAGTAAATAAAGAAAACTGTTTACTCCTACGGAGTAAAGTTTTAGGAGGGGATGTTATAGTGGAACACACCTATTCTATAGTTAATAGACTCTCCCACCTATAATAAGTGGGAGTAGTAAGAGTAGTAGGGAGTCGCTCAGTGGGTCGCTCAGTCAGTCAATGCCGGACGACTGTTAGTCAGATACTAAAGTATCAGCGACCACAACTAGATTACTCTGCGTCATACCCATTATATGAAGTTCCTAATGTTTTGTACGTCGAACCTTTTTTAGGACCGACTTAGTACAAATACAAGCCTTCACTGTGAAATCACTCCATAACAGAATGTTAACACGAGAAGGTGCAATGAGTCACTTTCCTGGAGGTTAGCATTAGCCATACTAATCGAAGGTAGAGAGAGGGGGTCTTTCAGATGATTAATTAGTTTTGGTGGCATTAAAATTAACAATCCATCATTTACCCTGGTTAACAACAGACTTGAGGTTGTCATTATTTTTTTCTGCACCAAAAAAAAATGGTTAAAAATCAAGACTGAAATACTCAATGATCAAAGAAAAGGTCTTGAGTACATCAATATCCAGTGTTTTGCACCTAATTTTTTTTTTAAATACCATGACCCTTCAGGATTCACCCATGTCCTGAAGGGACATGAGTAAATCATGTCATTCCACAGACTCCTTTACTTTAATATTTGTGAATTGCCAGGAGTTCTTATGAAATATAGTACAGGGATTTCCATTGCCTTCTACATGGTTTTAAATTCAAAGAAGTATTTCTCCTAAACTGGCTACCAACCAAAGCTACTATTTAATGCATATCTGAACGGCTTTTTACCTGTAGAACACAAAGGCAAAATATTAATTCTGATTTTGCCAAATTACCTGTGTTTTTCCCACGGCACTGTGTCCTACAAGCTCTGTCATTTCACCAGTATAAAGTCCACCATCAAGCCATTGGTCAAGTCTGGAAATAAAAAAATAAAAAAAAAAACTTAAAATTATCAAAAAAGATAATTAAGCACTAAACTTAATATTTTATTTTTCTGCTTTTATAAAAATTCTAATCCTTGCTTTTTAAAACAATAGACATTGCTGAGAAAGTCAAAAGTGTATGCAGTAATAATGTCAAGGAAATAACTGCCCTTTTCATACCATTTTTATTTTTAAATTTCTTACATGAAGCATTGTAAATTGCTGTTAATTTTACAACTCCTCTTCCTTTTATTATAATTTCACTTGCTTTTTATCACAACTCTCTGACAATCATTGAACTTTTCTTTTTTTTAAGCATACATATGAAAATTATAAAACATTAAAAATTGCCTCAGTTTTACTGAAATTTGTTTTTTATTTTTTTAAATAATTTCGTCGCCATGCAAGGCAGTAAAGTCACTAAGACACAGAGTTACTGAGTGTGATAGAATTAGAAAACAAACATTAAAGAGTAAGAACAACAGAAGAGTAATCAGGAAGACAGTAAATAATGATTCACATTGCATTTAAATTTTTGGAGATCAGTGTTGACAGAAAGCATGGAGCCAGAAGAGTTAGAGAAGAAACTGTTAGCATAGAACTTACAGCTACATCTCACCAATTCAAAGATAAATTGATGAGACTTTGTTGCCAATCTAGTACTGCACTTAAATTCATAAAGTCTAGGTACCATAGCAAAGAGTTCATCCAAACAATTACCATAAAGTATAGAAAAGTTACAGGGAAGCTACATTACTGTAATGAGAAAGTGACTGAAGCTGAGATGCCAAGTCAAGACCAATAATATTGCTGATTATTCATTGGATTTTATCAAGAATCTCTAAATATATAGTAGGAGCACAGGGCTATATGTGGCAGTAATATTCAAAGCATGGATGAATGGTAGACCTACAGATATGCAAGATAGATTCTGGAAAGAAAATTGTATAGAACTTTCTTAGCAGCAATGAATTCAGTATAATCTTTCCACTTCATGTCTGTTAGCCCAAGAAGGTGCAACAAGTCACTCTTCTGGAGGTTAGCATCAGCCATGAATAAAGGTCAAACATTTTTCCAAGGGGGGAAAAGACGAAATGGCAAGATCTCTAAAGTAAACTATGGATAGTTTGTGGATCAGGGAATCATGTGGATCATGGACTGCTGCAGATATGATCCAAATTTAAAGAAAGTGAGGTTCTATGTTTTTATATTTTAGAAGTGTTGAGTGAGTGGCTATAGTTAAATGTAAATAAATAGCTGAACTCCCCAACAAACAGAACTGACAAAGTTAGCAATAACAAGGAAAAGAAAAGGGCAAAAAATAATATAAAGCAAGCAAACAATATATGCAAATTAAAGCAAGAGTAATGTGGTAAATTAACAGTAATAAAGCAAATCATCAGTAATATGGCAAAAAGTTCACAAACTAAGAATTGAGGTTGACATACAAGAACAAATTTAGATAAATGAATGTAGCATTCTGACTTCAAGACAAGACAGATCAGGGCTGAAGGATACAAAACCAAGAACCTGCCTATTTTATTGGCAAGGAAGAAATCCTAGCCTGCATCTTTGTGCTTCTGCCTATAAATTGGGGAGGGGAAAATGCTTTCCAGTCACCCAGTGGGGAGTGGAACCAACAAGAATATTTCAATATTATACATTGTGTTGTTATTTGTTCAAGAAAAGCAAAAGCTGCATGTCAGTGAAGAATTTGTGAGGAATAAAATAAGAAAGTGACATGTGATTAAGTCATTTAACTAATTTGGCATCAGTAACAAAAAGGATGTGATGAGAGAAAACAGTCTTTGATCATTGTATTGTATCCAATAATGAAATGTCCAGTTCCTTTCTAAGTGATATTGAAAGCAATTTGCGTGTTTTGAACCAAAATAAATAACAGTAAATCTTTTTTATTTTTGTCATTTACAGTGTTTGTTATAATTGCAGGGGAAATGATTGCTAGAAATGTCCCCCTGCCCACATTTATAAACAAATCCTACAGATGCATGCTGGGATTTCTTCCTGTTGTAATGTTATCTTTGTTCTAAATAGCCAAGAATTAAAAAGGTCATAGTTAGAGAGAATATCGAAGGAACAGAAAACGAGGTAGAGCAAACAAAGAAGAGGTTTATTAAATACTCATACAAAGAACAGAAATACTTGATTAAACCAAATACTACTCAAATCCTACTCTAATGTGGCTACTTGCCATATTTATCAGTAGGAGCAGTCCGGTGTCACAGTAGTAGGGAAGAGAACGGAGTAGAGTCCTGCTCTACAATACTTCCTAACCAATGGACAATTCTCAGTTTCACATCCACATTTTCTCACCTTGAAGTCAGAACACTATAACCACTTGACTGTATCCCTTTCTCAAGTGAACATAATTTTTACATGATGAATTCTGCTTTATTACTATGGACTTGCTTTTGACTTGCATATATTGTTTGTACTATTTTTGCCCCGTGCTTCCCCTCCTCTTCTTATTGCTTATCAAGAATTTTGCCAATTCCACTTGACCATGGCCAATTATTTTAAAGTATTTTCTTATTTTAATGTTTTGAGCTCTTCTGTATTTAAAATAATATCTTCTAATTTTTTTTTAAGTATCATACAGAATTTTTATTCAATAAAAATCATTCAAATATGACTATCTTTTTACTCCTAAAACTTTATCTTTAGAATAAGGTTGCATCTTATAGACCAGTGCATCTTATATTCCAAAAAATACAGTAGCAGAATATTAATCTGAAGACTTAAAATGAGATATTTAAAGATTCAGGAACAACTGCCACATTACGAAATTTTTGTCATTTCCCATTATCAAGAGACATTTTTTTTTCTATTTTGTTTCACTAAAAGATTAGGTTGGATTATTAAAGAAAAAATCTGAAACAAAATATTTTCCAAAACACCAATGAAAGAATAAGTAAAAATATTCATTCTGAAAAAAAAAAAAAAAAAAAAAAAAAAAAAAAGTATAAAACTATATTAATCTTTTAGTCATAAAAATTGTTCATCAGCACTATTTACATTATTTGGACTATCGTCTTCATCTCTGTCGCCATGTTTATCACAACATTTCGGCCATTGTACACACTGACCTTCTTCAGGTGCTTGGAATGTCGAACTGAACCTTTATTTCACTCACTGGAGTAGACTGTTCTAGTTCCACATGCCATGTCTAATGGATGTCAGTTATCCCCTGTTAATTCCCCTCTCCAAGTTCTCCACTGCCTTAAGTGGGTATTGAACTCATACTCTTTGGGTCCTGTCACTGGATCTAACTAATGCCTTTATCCGCTGTGTCATGTGTCCTTGAAATGTTGTGATAAATATGGTGACAAAGATGAGGACAATAGTCCGAATAATGTAAATAGTGTACATAATACCTCATCTCAGAAATATAGACAGATGTCCATCAGCAATAAGAAAGTACGGAAATATCTTTAAGAAGTGACTGCTGTAAATATAACAAGAGAAATTTATTAACGACTTTAGCAATTAATCAGAGAATAATTCGAGACAATTCATCTATAAAAACAATGAGTGTCCGAGAGCAGCTGATGAGATTTTACTGATATATCAGAAGAATATCATCATTCTAAATGATTAAATGGTTCAGAAAAAGAAAATACACAGGTGGGTGTAAATTAGCTTCAAGGAAAATTTATTCACCTTGGACTGCCTGTAGACAAGATGGCTGCTGATCTGACAACTCGTCCATATAAATCAGCAGCACTTGTAGGAAAAGCCGAATATTCAGCAAGAACTACTTGTTGTAAGGCCAGCAATTCCTAAAAGAAAACACAAAGTCAAATTTTATGAATATATAAAAACTTCAAAATATCAAAAAGTTAATTTTAAATGCAAGAATTCTTTATAAATTGTTTCATAAAATAGAGGTTTTATTGTTTGAAAGTTGGGTTACTACATTATGGCAATAACTCAATTTAATTCACTCCTCACTTTGACGTGGTTTCCCTCTGCATTTCTATAAATATTTTCATGGCAATTATTTTAATGAGTTCTCTTCCTTGGTACATCAAACATATGAATTTAAGTGCAGTACTAGATTGGCAGCTAGGTCTTACAATTTTACTGTTGAATTAGCTAGATACAACCATAAGTTTCATTTTAATTGATTTTTTTTTCCACACTTCTCACCTGTGGAACCCCCACTTCCGGTTTCTTACTTCTGATTCCTGCAATCTTCAAAAATTTAAATGCAACATTAATTGCAATCTTGACTTGCTGGAACCTGTTCTTTTATTGTCCTTTTTCCTCATTAAAGTCTTCACATTCTCTTTCACTTCTAGTAACCCCTTGCATCTTAATGGAATTATCACCAATTTCTGTCTTCCTAAACCCTGTTCTTTTATTGTACTTTCTCCTCACTAAAGTCTTCTCATTCTCTTTCACTCCAAATAACCCCCTGCATCTTAGTGACATTATTGCCATCATCTGACTGAAACTGTTCTTTTATTATCCTTTCTCTTCACAAAAACGTTCTCATTCTCTTTCACTTCCAATAATCCATTGTAACTCAGTGACATTATCACCATCTTTTGTCTTCCTGAAACCTGTTCTTTTATTGTCCTTTCACCTCTCATTCTCTTTCACTTATAGTAACCCCTTGCATCTTAGTGGTGTGTCCTGTGCATGATGATAAACTACATCCATGTCCTGGGTAAGACAATAAACTACATCCGACAGCAAGGCCTCTGATCAAGAGGCTTTAAGGAGCATGAAACCACCTCTTAATTGCTGGTATGGGCAAATAGTTAAACCCCAAACTGGGATCAAAACACTATGAAAGTGTAAAACTAGATTTTAATACAATCTATACATTTATGAAGAAAAAAAATTACTAGCAATACATTTTGAAAAAAAAATTATTACCAGCAATAAAAATCTTGTCGGCATTAAATAACCCATTAAGGTTGATATGCCTTAAACAAACCAAACCAAAACCTTAGATTAATGTTTGTCCTTAACAACAAAATGATGCTAACATTTTAAAAGCGAGCATTATCTTTATATATAAGTGTGTGCATATCTGAAGGTATTTATTATTAGAGTTATTTATACTATTTACATTTGGATTATTGTCTTTATTTTTGTGATAACAACATCAAAGATGTGACTTTGGCCTTCATTTGGTGTATATTAGGTTTATGCATCACATAGTAGTAAGACCCCCCCTCCACCAAATGAGCTGTCCTGAGTAAGATGATAAACTACACCCGACAGCAAGGCCTCTGATCAGGAGGTTTTGAGGGGCATAAAACCACCTCTTAATTGCTGATGTCCCCAGGTCCATCCTGACCCGTGGTGGTAGCACCTGTCAGGGTCCTAGCTATGGGCAAATAGTTAAACCCCATACTGGGATCAAAACACTATGAAAGTGTAAAAATAGGTTTTAATACCAACAATACATTTTTGTAAAAAATTAATACGAGCAATACATTTTTTATGGAAAAATTATTACCAGCAATACATTTTTGATGGAAAAATTATTACCAGCAATACATTTTTGAAGAAAAAAATACTAACAGCAATACATTTTTGGAAAAAAAAATATTAGCAGCAATACATTTTTGAAAAATTATTACCAGCAATAAAAATCATTGAGGTTCATATGGCATAAAACAAAACAAACCAAACCTCTTAGGCATTATCGCCATCTTCTGTCTTCCTGAAACCTGTTCTTTTATTGTCCTGTCTAAAGTCTTCTCATTCTCTTTCACTCCCAGTAACCCCTTGCTTGAGATAGAAAAGAAATCCTTCTGACATCATTTAACTGCCCTTTCTATTATCACACTAATTCATACAAAAAATTGTTTAATCAGTTCATATGTGTCCTACGAGATTCTATAGGAATACTGACTCCTATGAGAACTATTTGCTTTATGTGACATCCAAGTCAAGCCATTGGCAACTATAACACTAAGTTGGTATTGTTAAAGAGGGTTTGGTTTGTTTTACGGCATATCAATCACAATGGGTTATTTAATGCAGACAAAATTTCCTTTTCCCTTTTTTCAAAAATGTATAGCTGGTAATATTTTTTTTTTTTTAATATATAGTTTGGTTTGTTTTGTGGCATATTAACCTCAATGGGTTATTTAATGCCGACAAGATTTTTATTTCTGGTAATATTTTCAAATTTATCTATTGTTATGTGGGAGTCAAAGAACTAATATGGTGGTCTGTTAGTGTGGTGATGTGGAAGTCGCCAAAGTAGGGGTTTAATTGTTTGCAAGTGGTTACCTTCGGATAACGTCCTTAATATATATAATTTATATAGCCTTTTAAAAATGTATACAAAGATAATTACTATATTTGACAGCATATAAGGCACACGTTTTTTTACTAAAAATATCTTAAATTTCCCCTGTGTCTTGTATGCCATATTTAGATTAACTAATTTTACTAATTGCTAATTTTTTCTTGATTTGCCCTGCTGAAATTGGGATGTGTCTTATACACCCATGCATCTTATATGCCATCAAATACAGTAATACAAAGATATATATTGCATGTACTGATAAAAATTTATATCCCTCGAAATAAAATATACAATATTCAAAGAGTTCAGAAGTTCCTATCAGAAAGTTCTCATGTTGAAAGTCTAAGTCCTAAGCATACGTATAGAGAAAAGAGAGTTTTTGTTAATGTCTATGTAGGTGTGTAAGTACTTCTTGATAGCAGTAATTCTTTCAACTCACTCTCTGTGGGATTTTTTATGTGTCACACTAATTCATACAATATGAATGTCTTGAGGGTAAGAGACAGTGGATGAAATTCTTTTCAGCAGCTGGTCTAGTCCGTTTGCCTGCTCGACATTATCTGTCTTAACACTTTTTTTTAAAGACAATAGTATTCATTCCTGAATTGGGCACTATTACACTTTCACACAAGCTTTATGTGCACACCTCCAAATCCTGTTATCCACTGATCGCATATAGGTTTGTTCCCTACAATGGCTGTTGCAACCAATGCAGTCCATACTGACTGCTAGCAAACCATAGTTACAGCACCAGTCAATGCAATTATCAATATTATTGTAAAACTGTGCTCCAATTTTCAAAATGGTGATGTCTTTAAAAACCTGTTGATTGGGAACACGTTGAAAACCAGCCATAATATTTGGTTTGAAATGAACAGTGAAGTGATGAATGTAAGAAGAGCAAAAAAGAATAGCCACATGTAGTAAACGGGGGAAAAAAATTATTTCTTGATCACTGCAAAATTTTACAAGGCGGGAGGGGGGGGGTTACGAAAGAGTAATAGCGCCCTGTTCCTGATTTTGATTGGTTCTAGAAATGACTCTTTTGACAACCCCTTTTTCTTCACCTACATTTAGGAATGATAACCTTTTGACCTCTTTTATTTCTTTCTTTATTTTTTCCTTATCTTTTTGTTTTTATTTCATTGTGGCAAACCAAAATGGTTTGCCAACTTTTAACTTTCTCTAGGTCCACCCTGACTTGGGGTGGTAGCACTTGTTAGGGTCCCAGCTATGGGCAAATAGTTAACCCAAAAAAACTGGGGTCAAAACACTATGAAAGTGTAAAAATAGGTTTTAAATACCAGAAATACTTTGAAAAAAAATTATTACTAGCAATACATTTTTGAAAAGCTACACTTTTTTGAAGAATAAATATTACCAGAAATAGATTTTTGAAAAACAAATATTACCAGCATTAAAAATTTTGTCGGCATTAAATAACCCATTGAGGTGTTGATAGTTATTTTCCAAGCGCAGCTTAGATGTGGCACAAGGCCGAAAGTATGGGACACCCAGTGAGGATCGAACTCACTACTCAGGTGTAATTGTTCTAGCGAGGCAAACTTGCTAACCATTACACCACCTGTAGGTGTCGCCCATTGAGGTGTTGATATGCTGTAAAACAAACGAAACCAAACTTAAAACACTAGTCATTTACATTCGGATTAAATGTCCTCATTTTTTTTTTTTTTGTAATTATCACGTTTCGGTAGCTGTTATAGTGGGTCAGCTAATTTGTATTGGTTATAAATAGAAATAAAAACTGACCCTCTACAATTTTTACAATATCAAAGACAACAACTGTTTAATTTTCCTATAAAAACAAATATCGCTAACTACACCTTCTCATTTTCACACGTACAGTACAGTAACTCAAATTCTTTCAGTAACAGTAACACGCACCAAAGAACTTTATTGTGTTTATCAACTTTTGCACTATATTTGTTGTGTTTATAAAAAAAATATTTATTGTTGAACAAATTCACAATTTCTTCTACTTGATTATTTCTCTTGTTGTTGTCTTTGTTACATTTGACATTGTAAAAATTTCAGAGGGTCAGTTTTTATTTCTATTTATAACCAATACAAATTGGCTGACCCACTACTGTGCACAGTGGCCTTCTACAGGCGTGTCGATCCGAATCTCCTTCAGGGAATTTCAAATTGAACCCCTAACTATTAACAATGTCACCACAGGTTACTAGATTCCTGACGGTACCAATCTTACAGACCAAAGAATAAAGAAATAAAATAAAAATTACAGATTGACTCATATTCACATCAAAGACTTATTTTTTAATTTTTATTCAATAATTTGAAATATTTGACTCGCCGTCCTTGTCAGTTTTAAACACAGGTAAACAAAAATAGTTGTACTTACTTAGCTTCCCTGATTTTTTTTTTTTTCGAAAGTGACATCAACAAAGAAGAAAACCCAAAAAAAAAAATGTTACCTTATACGAAATTCCCGTCACCAATGCCAGATTCTCAAGATCAGCTGCAATGAAATCAGTCAGGTTTCGTATATTGGCAGAAGAAAGGGCGTGAACAATAGAAGGTGTCATACCAGCACAGATTCCCACCTGAATCAAAGGCATTATTAGATTGATTTTTAGTAAATCTCCTTTTAATGAGATTTAATTTCACAAAGAAATTGAAAACAGTTTATTAAAAACTTAAAGAAAGTTTTAAATGTTTCCCCGTAGTTGATCCCCGGAGAGTAAACAAAAAGGCACTAAATGCCTTATATTCATATTGCGACGATGGAATTTCACGCTGGAATTCATCAAAAGGTGAAATGCAAACAAAAACCTAAAAACAAAAGTGAACTAAGAAGAACTTTTTATATAAGTTGTTTCACATGCAACTTCGCACATATTTCGTATTTGGAGCCAAAAAAAAAAGAGAAATACAATTACAAAGGGAAGTAACTCTAAATGACACAAATCGGTTGGCGGCAAAACTTGGATTCGGAACGTATTTCGATTCGATAACTACACGACGGTCTTCTTCGCCTCTTAAAGAACAAAAAAGGAATATTCACTCGAATTTTTAAAAAGATTGCGTAATAATACCAAATCTCAATTAGAAATGGTTTCTTTGAACAAATGATAATGAGTTGAATTGTGTTTATATCAAAGCGAAAATAAAATAAAAAAACGTCGTTGCCGGCGAAAGAAGAACATACAATATGGCAGTGAGTCATATTTCAAAACAATTTCTCAAACGATTCAGCAGACACTTCAAGACCTTCATTAATGGAAAATATATTTCGGGTATAGTCAGAACCTACTGTACTCGTACGGGTAGGCTAATCAAAATATTTCTATTTAGTTTTAAAAAAATAATGATTTTTTTTTAATGTCCCGTTCAACGGACCTGCACTATTTTTAAAATGAGTTGAGTTTTAAGAACATGAAGAAGACAAGTTTTTTATCTTTGAATTATTGTGTATTTATTTTTATTAAGCTGATAAAAGCCGTCAACCTACGGACATAAAACAAAGGACGGGTTATTTAAAAAGATCCTTTCAAGCTCACTTGTTTTTTTCTTTTTACAAGATAAAAAAAAAAAGTTGCTTTGAATGTCACGGTGTTTGTTTTGTTGTTTTTTTTTTTTTTTTGCAGTGATTATTGGAGAGACGTTCCTTTTCTTTTATGAAAGAAAAAAAATTATTAATTGAAGCTTTTCTTTCATAATAAAATAAATTAAAAAGGTGTCTCTAAATTATTAATTAACCTCGTCTAATTTCAGAAGACTTGTAAATTAATTAGAAATACACTGACTAACACTTGCTGTTTATCTGAGCAGCTTATTTTTTTAAAAATGATTTAAAAACATTTAAAGATGAAGCAATGAATTGCACTGACAAATATTTTCTTTCTTTTTCTTTTTATTCATAAAAAAAAAAAGGGACTATCTTCGTAATCATATTGGATTACCACGCCAAAAAAAAAAACGCATCGATTGCTTCTGTTCTTAGGATTTCATTAAATAAATAAAATTGTAAAAAAATAAAATTACAAGGAAAGTGCTTAAAATTTTTTTCTTTTACTATTAAATCAAAAGAAAACTAATTTTTTTTAACTGACAAGGGAATCTTTGTCAGACGTTTGGAATTTTTCTTAAAAACAATCAAGAACAAAATGTTAATTGTTAATTGTATTTTTGAAAAGTGAGTTTAACATTTCTTTGTACGTTAAAAATACAATTTAACAACAAATATTTTAAAAATTATATTCGTTTTGGGCAGCAATTGCTTTTTTTAAACATGCGAAGATTTAAGAAGTATTAGTATATTCTTAAATTATAAAAAAAGATTAAATTTAAATACACATAAGATATCTATTGTTTTTATTTTTAAAAATTATTAAACACGATTCTTTAACGTGAGTTTACGTAATGGACTTGTTTTTTTATGCTAGTGATTCACTTGAAATATTTTTTTTGGTTTGTCCAAAAAGAATATTCCATCTTTACTTTTACTTTTTGTGACATTTAAAACGTTTGGAGCGAAGGCAAACTTTTTTTTCTTTACACAAGTCTTTTGCTTTCATATGCAAAGTCCTTTCAAAATTTGAAAATAATATTGGTTCAAGCCCCAAAGGGACCCTTCCTACCTCCAGGTAATACCTCTCCTTCAAGAGGGGGCTAGAATCATTACCTGCTTCTTGAGGCATTCCCAATAGGGGAAGGGGTGTTTCGGCCGCCATTGGCTGCTCCTTAGAAAATTAACAGGCAAGACGACCTTGACATCACAACCCCTTTACTCGCAGAATTAAGGTCAGTAGCAGGCTAGTAACTGGATGACTAGCCTAATATAGTTGAAGCCTAAACTATACCTTGAAGAGTATCTATCGAAACACCGGGAGGAGAAATGTCTGGATCAGTGTCGAGTCCAGGATGACTGGAGCTGATTGGTTGCCAGGCAGAAGTGTTATCGGCGATGGTAGCTGGTTGATTGCCATGTTGAGGTGTTATCGAGACAATTAGGGCGAGTCATCTCTACAAAACTGGATACCCTAAACAGGGCCGAGTCAGCTAGATGATATGTCCTCCAAGGTGTATCGACCACAGAAATGGGATCACGCCAAAGGTTATCTCTCAACAAAGTTGGAATTCCTAAACAGGGGCGAATCAATGAGGCGATACGTCTTCCAGTGTGGATCAACTGCAGAAACTGGATCACGTTGAAGGGTAGACGATACCAGGGCGGGAAGGTATGGTTTAGGCTTCAACCATATTGAGCTAGTCATCCATTTACTTGCCTGCTGCTGACCTTAAATCTGTTAGTAAAAGGGTTGTGAAGGTCAAGGTCATCTTAAATATCTATGCCATGTCCTTTCAGGACATTGACAATCATGACTTCATATCTTTCTTGTTGCTCATAGTCCCTCTTAGTATTGCCTCTTTTACTACTGCTCTTTGTCTTTGTTTTTTAACACCTATAAACTAAAAGTTACTTTCCCCTGCTTCTCTTACTGTTACAGAATCCATTGGCTGGCCCAAAATGGCAAATCCTACCATACTGGGCAGAACTCTTACGACCAGAATTGACTGCAGGTCGTTTCAACCCTGTGGGCATGGAATCCTGACAGTTTGGTCTTTTGGTTAAATTCTAAAATAAGACCAAAAAAAATGCAAAGACAGTATGGTTATAATAACAAATGGATGAAAATGCCTTGCTGCTCCCAGATTCCTTAGTGATGATGGGTAGTTGGCCAACCTGTTGACATCTGCCCTTTTTGCCCCCCTTTTCCCTTCTTCTAAGAAACAATGCTGTGTATTCAGCCTGAAATAAAGTCAGGAAAAACATCTAAGAAAATTGTCCATCATTCATTCATTCTGTGAAGCGGCACTTGGACTTGAAGAATTGCCAATAAATGCACTGGTACCTGAAGAATTGTCAATAGACCACAAACAGAAAATGTCAATGTTTTCATGACCTATTGTGTCATCTATGAAAGCGCTAGAAACATAGGTTTTTTTTTTTTTTTTTCTAGCAGAGAACTGGTACATATTTCATTCAATGAGATGAGCAACTACTTTCATTGCTATAAAATGTTTAACTTTTCATTAATGAACACAACTGGTGATTAGCAAAACAAGCAGTTATTTTGAAGAACACTGTATTCATCTAAATTTTAAAACTTTCATGAGATAAGTAATTGTCGTTATACTCTTATTATTTAAAAATATTCTTCTTGGTTGATATAGATGTTATTATGTTTTGTTATTTACATTGTTTGGACTGTTACCCTCATCTTTATTGCCATATTCACTGCATTTCAGTCATTGTACACTCCAACCTTTTTCAGGTGAAATATTTTTGAATTTTGAACTGAACTATTTATTTAGTCCATGAGGGTAGATTGTATATCACCTGAAGACGGTCAGAGCATACAACGGCCAAAATATTGTGAATATGGCAATAAAGCCCCGAACAACAGCCCGAATGATGTAAATAGTTACAGTACCTCATCTCAGAAATAGAGACAGACAATATTTAATCTATGAGAAGAATAGTTCAAAGTACAAATTTACCATGATAACCAAATGTTGAAAATGGCTCTAAAAATACACCACTGATATCTTTTAGCATAGTGGATATAGGAGTTGGTTATACATGTGTTAGTGTCATGTCATGAGTTCAATTCTTGGATCAGGTAGTGAAACACTAGTTCAATAGAACAAACAATAATTGACATCACAGGGACAATATAAAACAATAATCAAGAGATCTCCCATATCGGCCAAACAGTGGACACCTGATGATTGCCAGAGGGTACTTGACTGAAACATTGTGTCTGTTATAACATTTATAGCAACTAAAATTAAGGTAAGAATTTGAAATAATAAAAGTATATTGAATAACTTTTTCTTTTTTTGTTTTTTTTTTCAGATAATTCCTTCGATCTTATTGTCGTTGGTGGCGGATCAGGAGGACTTGCCTGTGCTAAAGAAGGTTCGAATTAATCATTAATTGATCTTGTTTATTCGTCTCTGTTTCTGAGATGAGGTATTGTAACTATTTACACTGTTTACATCGTTCAGACTGCTGTCCTCATCTTTATTGCCATATTCACAATATTCTTCAGGTGATCTATGTTGTGATTTCAAACCAAACCCTATATTTAGTCCATGGGGTAGATTGTTCTAATTCCATGTGCCTTGCCTTTTTAGGATATCTCAGTTTCTGTTAATTCACTTTAATAACTCAACTGAGATATCCAAAAAAAGGCATCACCCATGGAATTAGAACAATCTACCCTCGTAGACTGAATAAAGGATTCGGTTCGGAATTCAAACATGTATCACCTGAAGAAGGCCAGAGTGAAACATCATGAAAATTGCAATAAAGATGAGGACAATAGTCTGAACAATGTAATGTAAATTATTCCTGTTTTCATCAGAAAATCAAGACCTAAAAAGAATTTTTTTTCCATTTGCCATACAAACAATAAGCACTAAGTGACAACAAGCATTAATGTTGCTATGTAAATTCTCTCAAAAGCATAGTTTGATGTCATGATTTTGCTAATTGCTGCACTTAAAAATCCAGTAAAAATCTAGGTTTTACAAAAAAAATTGGGCAACTTGAAATCACATGAGAAATTTGACCCCACCAGATATTTAAATATGATGAAAGTGTTAGATATATATATATATAATTTTTTTTTTTTTTTTTTTATGTGGTTGGAAATGGTCAGTCGAAATGAGATCCTTGTTTACAAATCAAAACTTCATCTCTGATTTGACCTTTCATTCTCTATCCACACAAAAAACTCTCAATCAAAACTCAATATATCCAAATTATATTTTCTAAGTGCTAGATGAAGATCACCAGCTGATTTGAAACAGTTCTCTTTATCCTTATAGCAAATTTTCTGCATTGTTGTAAACTATAATTAGTTAAAAGTATTCACTACCACAAGACCTATCTGATTACTCTCTTCACATCATTAATGTTTCTGTTCCTAATTTTTTCGCACCCTGTAACTCCTTGTGTTTTAGTGGCATTATTGCCTTGTTTGAGGTGATTCTGATTTTAAAAAAAATAAAAAATAAAAATAATTACCTTTACACTTTACTAATGCTGGCTCCTGCTTCAGCACCTTTTGCACATGTTCCAACTGCTGTGAGTACAGGTCCACAATGATGGTTTGACCCAATGGTAATATCACCTGCTTAACTAGTCCATCAGATACAGAGCATGATCTTGCATGGGTGTAGAGGTGGTCATGTGGTGTGAGGCATAGGGTCCCATGGTGACAACTAATGTCTAGTATGCTTGGGGGTGTTGTACAGGACTCACTTTTCACCACTTATGAACATTTGATCAAATATGGATATGTTGTGGTGCTGAGAAATCAACGAGAAACAGGCTATCACTCATTGCTTGTTGGTTTATGACAGTGTTTGGGGTAACCAATTGCTCAACTTGTACGCTTTCCCTATGAAGTGCAAGTAGTCTGACTTTCATCAGAAACCCATAAGTGTTCAACAACTTCACCACAGGTTTGGTTGTTCCTCTATGGCCACTTTCAAGGCCTCATCATCCAGGACCTGTAACTGGCCACTATGTGGTTCATCACAAAGAGACAGATCTTCTGGAACCAATACATGTCAGTGTGTTCACTCACAACATTATCCCCAAAGGCTTGGCGTATTTGGGGACTTGATGCAACTGTGGACAAGCCCACTTTAAAGTCATAAAGCAGACAATACCACATTTCCTCACCACTGCTATGACTTGTGTGTGTGTGTGCGCACGCGTATTGCACTTGCATTGGTCAAGAGCAATACCCCCCCCCCCCCACCATTTTCCAGCACACGATTCATTCATTTGTGAATCAGTGATCATGTCTCACACAACATTAAAAACAGCAAGGACTGTTAGCTTATATAAATGTTATTTTTAGTGGCTCTATGTATTTGAGATGCCTTCTTTTACCACCACCCTCCGCTTTAACCTGTGAAATTAATAACAAACACTGTAAAGAAGTCCTGCTAAAGAAAGATTGTCCTTTTTCATTAGGGACATGCCTTTACCAATTTGGTCATGGAGACAATGTTGATAGAGCAAATGCAGATTTCTCGATAGGACTTCTTTGAATCTCTATCTCCTAGTTTCAGTTTCGTAACTGAAACATAGCAGCAGGACTTCTCGGTCTAAGACAGTTGTTATTAATTATACTGTTTTAGAAAAAAAAAACAGCGACAGCAACTCGGATGTGTGGACCCATGAAAAATAATGTTTATAGCAAAAAGAAGTAACATTTGGATAGAAATTTCCCTTCAAAAATATTAGGGAGTCTATACTAATTAGGCATGCCAGAGTTATGGATTGCGGCTCAGATTGAGTAATCGGAGAGACAAGTTTGAATTCCAATTGAGTTCATTACATTGCCAATACCCTTGGGAAAGATATGAATCCAACTCTTCCCATCCCAGCTAAGGGTAAATAATAGGACAGACTGGGTTCTATAGTCTTGGGTGGTAAACAATCTAATGAACATTTGTCATCATTTAAATCGACAATAAACCACCTTAGGATCGGTGGCAGATGTTCATAAAATCCCATTTCACCTTACCTGATCTTTCAACATAAAGATTCAAAATCAATTTAAAATAAGACAAAGAAGACAGACCATCCTATAAAACATTTTATAGACACAATTGTTTGATGTTTGCCAATGAACTATTTTCATTCTTCAATAAATTATCCAAACTAATATCTGCGCCCTTTTGCTTTCATTGTAACAATTCAGCCAAAAGTTTTGCAGACTAATTGTCATTTATGTGTGTGCACGAGCATATATGTTCATGTTCAGTTTGTGTGTAATATTGTTTTAAGCATTTCACCCTATGCAACTCAAACATGTGTACCCATTAAAAATAATGTCAAATAAAAAAAATCTATAAAATAAAATGACTTTTATTTAATATTTTGATTGGACTGTGTATAACAATTTAAAGAAAATTGGCCAGATATGGCAGCAATACTCCATTTTGAGTCTGTCTTGTAAAGATTAAGTAGCACAGGAGTTCAGTATTTTCTGGAAAACATTGTTATATTTTTGATTTTCTTTTGGATTTATGATTCATCTCAGAATTTCAGGGCTTATAGCCACATCTCATTGAAACACCAGTTCCTGTACGATTACTGAAGTTAGGCAACATTGAGCCTGGTCAGTACCTAGATGGGTGACCACTTGGGATTACCAGGTGTTATAAACTTGGTTGTGCAGATCTTGTAAGGGATAATGACTCAGAATTATTAATCAGAGTGCTGAGTTCCAATTCCTGTTATATATTCACTTACACAAAAATGCCATCAGGGTGAGGTATGAATTCAACACTTGTCTCCCCAGCTATGGGTTAATTAGTTTGACTTGTATCACTAAAACATTATCATCGCTAAAAAAACAAAAAATAAAATTCTTACAATCTAAAAATATTTCCTGGCTTTAAAAAACCTGCAAAGGGTTGCTAAGCCATAAAAAACAAATCAATCAATGAAATACTGATTAGCTACACAGGCATGTCTTTTAGATTTATTTACATTCTCTGGAATAAAAATGTATGGAACCTACCGTGGCCACGAAATGAGGGATCAGTTTAAATATTGATTGTAATATAGAATTGATCCCCCACTTTATGTTCACATTATAATTTCTTGTTTGTTGATAAGACATAGAAAATGAATGAACGTTTACTTTGACTTTTTTTTTTTTTTTTTTTTTAAATTAAGAATTTTTCAAAGTGATTTTCTGATTTTTGTTACATTTCTATCATTTTTTTTTTTTTCATTCCTTTCTTTTTTTAGCTGCTTCTTTTGGAAAGAAAGTGGCTGTCTTGGATTTTGTGAGCCCCTCTACTCAAGGTTTGTACAATTCTTCATATCTTTAACCGGCTTAACAAATTTTACTGAGTTTTACCAAACATCTTATGATTGAAGGTCACCTTTCTAATATTAACACTGCAATTAATTATAACATCTCTTCTTTGTAGAACTTTAAACATACACATTTCAGGCAAGTGCCTGATATTAATAAGAATAATGTTCTAGTGAAATTGAAGATTTCTATTTCAATTTGACATTGTATTTCAAATGTTAGTTTACAGCACTTTATACAGTAACTAAATATATATGTAAAGGGAAGTAACTCGTGTTTTGTTTTTTTTACAAATAAAAATTTTCATCTGAGCCTAATATAACTATTAGATAAACAGTATTACATTGAGAAGTCATATGGTAAAGAATATAATTTTTAGTTAAATTTAACTTTACCTACCATTTGGTCTTGATGTCTAAATTGGTGTATGACACTTTTATAGATATGAGATGCAAGTTCAAATCTCACTAAAGGTTGCTATTTTTTTATTATAAATTTATGTGGATTAACAATTGGAGAATTTAAAGTAGAGTTGCAATAAAAAAAGACATTAAGGTTAAAGATAACCTAATCAATAATGGGAATGCTTCATTCAAGAAATTTAAATAAAAATTTTATCAGTTTTTATATTTTTTATTTTATTTATTTGAAACTTTCACTGCTGCATTGTTATAATTGTGTCGGTAAATTTTGAAAAAATAGGAAATTGTCTTACACTGGAAATAAATGGCTATAAAGATGCTGACAACAATTTCTCATGAACACTGCCATTTTGGTTTTGATCAGATACGCTGTTGTACAGACTAAGCTAAATGATATGACCAACACACAATATGACAAAAATTGGTCACATTATATGTTAGCATGTGTCTGTGCTGTTTGGGAAATAGTGGTAATTGCTAGTTAGTTTATAATACAAACACTAGGAATAGACATTTCACAATGACTTAAAAACATATACATTAACAAGTTTCCTGAAGGTGTATAAATATATTCTCGGAAGGTGGAATGGTTAGTTTGGGACTTAATTCTCTTTACTTTTAAAAAGTATATATTTATTTATATGAAACATCTATCCATCCCTCTTTCTCTCTCCCTATATATATATATATATATATATATATATATATATATATATATATATGTCATTCGCAGACAGTACTGTTTCACTGTATCACAGCTCCTCAGTGCGACTAGACATCCGAATACTTCAAGCCCGGATCGAAACCCAATTAATCAGTCAGAGTTTCTACCACTGAGCAATCTCCACTCGACAGAGAGAAACGACTAAATCTAGCATATTGTTGCCAATCAGCCAGAGTGCTCCAATTCATTTTACTGAAGAGCTTTGCATTAACACAGGTGGCTGTTTGTTTATAGAATTAGCCTATCACTCAACAGTGCTCAACTGAAATATATTTTCAAGAGCTAAATGATAAAGTACAATTTTAAGGTATACTATATTTATGGTTTAAAGTGCTCAGTATCAGAGAGAGAGAGATAGTGTATGTAAATATGTAAGTGAACATTGAAGTCAACACCCAGAGGCGACAGTCTGTTTCATGCTAAATGCAATCATCAGGCCTGACAACTTTTTATATGCACTTTTCATTGGTGCAAGTTTATTATATATATATAGATATAGATATAGATATGAGAAATACATAAGATTTTAATTCATATTGAAGCTTTTTTCTTACATTAAAATTCCTAATTGTTTTTAATTATGTTAGTATGTGTTTTCATTTTTTGATTTTTAAAAAAATAAGCTTCATCAACTGTTGATAATTTGGATATTGCAAACAAGTTTCTTTCTTCTGCTGACATTTTGTTAGCTTTAAATGCCAATATCTCCTTCTTGAAAATTTATTTCCAACTGGAAAATTCTCTCAACAAAATTTCTGTTCTTGTGCAAGAGAAATTAAAATTAGTTAGAAAATCAAGATGAATACCTTGTTTTATAGAAGAATTGCTTAAACTTACAAAAGAGGCAAACATCTCTTATAAACATTGTAGCAGGAAACAGCTTCTGTAGCACAGACGTTAGAATAATGCTTGCAAGGGACTCTGGTTTAGCATTCACTGCAATACACTGAACTGTGCCGAGTGCAAAAGCTTACTCCCTCCTCAACAAATACTTGCCTCTTTGGTTCGTTTTGCCAATCCAGAAAATTAGCATCTTGCGCATGCTGCCAGCATTGGTCTAGCTCTGTGATGTCTATGCCATGTTGTTCCAGTGCTAATGTTTGTACAGTTCACCTCTTTCTTTCTTTCATTGCATTAAACCACCCTCATTAATCAGTCAGTCATGTTTTGAGTTGATGTAATTAACATCATGTCTACGGTCAGCTCATACTCTTTCACCAATTCCTTGAATGTGCTCAACCACCTCTTGATGATCATCTCACTTTCTGCATTGGTACGCACTTGTACCTTCCTGGTCAGAATGTTCAATACCCAGTGATATGCATACAGAGTCCATCTTCATGTGCACCACCTTACTCTGCCACTAGAGGGCCAAATTGATGCCTTCCAGCATGGTGTCCAGTTCAGCTAAATTTATATCTTATGCTATGCCACTCTGGCCCACTTGGACTTCCAAGGTAATTCTCCAGCACAAGTAGTTAACTGTTTTTGATGTTAGTAAAAACAAAAACAGTGGCAACCACATTGATACCGAATACGTAAATAGGTATTCATGCCTCTGTGTTTACAAATGCTAACTTACAGTGGTTTTAAATATAATCAAATTTTAAAAATTATGGTCCAGCTTATTGTGGTCATCAAAATCTATTGATTGCATTGTTTTGTAAAAGATCCCTTTTGTGTTCAGATAATCTATTATTTAAATTCCTTAAAATTGTCTTCTCTTAATCAATAGAAAAAGTAACATTTTTAAATCAAAATTATGGCCAAACTCAATATGGTGAGCAGCTAATATAGTGATTGTGTTGTTTTGTAAAAGATCCCTTTTGTGTTCAGATAATCTATTAAATTCCTAAAAATTGCTTTCTCTTAATTAAAAGAGAAAGTATCATTTTTAAATCAAAATTATGGCGAGCAATTAATGTGTTTAATGTATTGTTTTGCAAAAGATCCCTTTTGTGTTGATATAATCTTTCATACAAATTTCTGAAGATTTTCTCCCAGAGTATTTTATCAAAGTATATTGTAAATTTTTGCTTCAGTTTCTCTTGATTTTTTTTCTCTCTCTAGGTGTGAAATGGGGACTGGGAGGGACGTGTGTGAATGTCGGATGTATTCCAAAAAAATTAATGCACCAAGCCGCCTTACTTGGACAAGCTATCAAAGATGCCAAAAGTTTTGGCTGGAATATTCCAGAAACCTCCTTTTCCTGGTAAGCATGATTTTTTGAGATGCAGTGAAGAAATGTTGTCTTTGACTCCAACTCTAAAGTTGATTGTAGTAAAATTACTGTTTTTAAGTTTAATTTCTGATTAAGTTTGAAATATGGGATCGACTTTGAATTTCTAAGAACACTCCAATGTAGCATTTCATGACATATCTGGGATTCTCTGGACAAGGATTAATACCAGATAAATTCAGCTTGATTTGAAGAAGAAAAAAAATTAAAAATAGACATTACTTCTGATACTGGAAAGAAAAAAAAATTACCCAAAGAAATAAGTTTACACCCAAATCATTGCATTTTGTTAACACGTTCAATAAATTTTGATTGGTTGATGATGATGATGTCTCTAAAACATCAGATTCAGAATCACCGATGAAGTAACCATCATTTGAAATGAAAGAGACATTGAGTTTGGGGGGGGGGTGATCAGGGTCTCCTCAACTTGGTCTGGGCTAACTAGGGAAGAGAACCGAATATTGAAAGACCCAAAACTTGTCAGATGATCCCATTTATAAAATATCATTGCCAATTCTCCTCCAGCCTGTGTGTAAAAGACGTATTTTGTAAATTATATATATATGCATGACAAAATGTAAATTTAAAGCTAGATGTCCCTGTATCTTCAGCACATCTCAATGTGCAATTGTAGGTTAAATTTTTCTGTTTCAAATTTTCCTTGATCCCGTTTCCAGTTTTGGTAAATTTCTTTTTTTTTTGTTTTTACTTTTGGGAAATTTCATTTTTTTTTCATTTTTATAGTATTTTATGAGAAAATTGCAATACAATCTGCTATAATTATTATTAAAACTGAAAACAAAAACATAATTCAATTTTTTTATTGCATATAAAGAAATAGCAAATATCCACAAATCTTTTTTAAATGTTAAAATCCAAGTTCAAAATAAATTATATGTAAAAATAAAAAATTGTAAAATGACTAAACAATAAAACAATGTAATGCTACAGTGCATAATTACTTTTGAGGTTGAACTTTTAATAAGAGCTTCCTTCTTTAAGAACACATTCAAATTTTTTTTCTTTTTTTTAAGTAAAAGGATTTAGATTGATTTATAATTATTGATTCATAATATAAAAATCACATTTAAAGTATCAACAGCAAAGAACTTGAATCTCAATAATAAATATCTGAATAAAGTCAAACATTTTGACTAAAATTTTGTAAAACAGTAATTAATAATAACTGAATCTTTGTAACAAAATATCAAAAAACAAATTAATAAACATATTAATTCAAAATTTAAATAAAACAACTCATCCCAAATTGAAATACTGCTCAAATTTAAAATTGCTAATTTCTTAATTTGGGAAATATCTAATCTCTTCTCTAAATCTCAATTGTAATACAACATTGTGAGTTGCTTGGTGTTCTCAGGGGTAAGACTTTTACATTGTTTATTGAGTAAATGTTTATACTGAGAAAATGAACATTCAGCATCTATGCTGGTAACAGGCATCCATTATGACCTTATTGGCAATCTGTTCCAGAAGAGGACATCTGCTCTTATTTGCATTCCAAAATTTAAATTTCTTTTACAACGGTGAAGCACTGAAGATGATGCAGTTATTAATCCGGGAGAATGTCTGACAGTAATCTTCAGGGTAGACAAGCCAATCAATGGTGTTAGAATGGTGTTTTTGGAAAAAAAATTTTCTTTATTTCGAAATTGTTTGGTAGGCATGTGATAGAATTTACTTATTCATAAAACAAGGTTATAAGTTGTTTAGAATCTTTTACTTGCAAATTGTGTGAGGCCTTAAAGGCAAGGAATTTGTTAAACTTATTAGTTTGATCTTCAACTCTTTCCTCTTCTAATTTTGATATTAACTAGTGTCTATCTTCCCCATTTTCACTTGCTTTGGGACTTGCTTTCCAGCCTGGGCTTGAGCAAGCTCAAGACCTTTCAGACAGAGAGGAATCCAGACAAGGCTCTGCCAAAGGGCAGTCTCATCTGGGGAGGTAAACAAACCTGCCCCCCATATATGTGGGGTCTACAGGGAATTTTTGTTCGAGCATATGAGCTCAGATCACTCTACATAAAATCAGCCTTGTGCTACATGCTGCCTCATGGGGAGGTCAGGTAAATACCCACTTTAGCAATAGATCTCAGTGACCTTCCACTTTCATCTTGTTTGCTACATAGAGTTTCTTAGAAAAGTTTTAAAATATTTAAAAATAGACTATCCAGCATATCGTCAGAACATTGACAAACCACTTTACTTTTTTTTTTTTTTTTTTTTTTTTTTGATTAATTTGCAGTATAAACACCAAAAAAAGCCCATGGTAATGAAAATGTTCCATTATGGTGTGGAATTGCCTGATTATTTTGAAAATGACATTAAAAGTTTGCATTGTATTACTGTTTAGGATTTATTGACAATATGAGTTCAGTCTCTTTCTCATTGTCCAACTGCCATTACTGGTGTTGTTTACATATGTTTGCCTTGAAGTAGTAATGTGTGGAAACCTACTTAGTCAACAGCCTTTTTACTGCGTTTCATATCTTCTTACTGTCTTGATTACTGTGCAATTAAAGTTATTTTAAAATGTGCTTTCTTTTTTTTTAAATTAAGCTTTAAATAAATAGTTATTATTTAATTCGTATAAATTTCTTTTTTCCAATTAAAAGTATTGTTTCTTTGTAGAAGTGAAGCTTTTATTAAATACTGAATTCTTTTTTTTCTTTTTTCTTTTTTTTTATTAAATTGGTTTAAATTTGTTATAGAAACAATTGAAAGCTTTTCTAAATAAATATAACATCATGAGTGAACCCCCTTTTTCCAAAAAAAAAAACATTGTTGAAAAAAGGAAAACATTTTTTTTTTCTTTTTCAGACATGTAATTTCTATTTTAATTGTCAGATTTTAAAGAAACTTTCACAATAATTTTTTTTTTTTTTTTTTTTATCCTTTTAGATTTTATTTTTTCTGCTATATTTGGAATTGCGCATTCAAACTTTGCACCTTGCGCAGTAACCAAGACAAGTGAAACTTCTGCGCATGACTAGTCAAAGCAAACGTATGTTAACAAAGCCAGTAATGGCAGCCATTCTGTCGACACAATGCAAAAGAAGTCAAACTTATATTGTTCATAACTCCTAAATGGTAATAAAGCGCAAACTTTTAATGTAATTTTCAAAATAATCGGGCAATTTCACACCATAATGGAACATTTTCATTACCGTGGGCTTTTAGTGCTTATACTGCAAATTAATCTGTTTTTATGTAAAATTGCTGCCATATATGGTCTGGAGCCCCTTCTGTTTGCCTCGGGATTCTTGATAAGCTCCAGAGGCGAATATGCAATATAATTGGCCCTGTTCTGGCATTTCATCTACAGTCGCTCTCTCACAGACGTGCTGTCGCCTATCTCTCTGTCTTTTTTACAAATACTTTCATGGTAATTGCTCCGAGGAGCTGCATTCGCTGGTTCCCAGACTTCATGAATTCAAACGCCCTACGAAGCTGGCATCCCGCTCTCACCCTTTCACTGTCAAAACTACTAAATGTAGTCGTCTCTTCTACTCCAATAGAATTCCACGATTCCATACACAATTCTGTGATTGCAGAAAATTTGTTCCTCTACAATTGTAACAAGTGTTTGTTGTGTTTTATCATTCCCACCACAACATACATAAAAGATTGCATCTTTCCACTTTTTAGGGAGGTCATGGCAGCTAATGTTCAAAGTCATGTCAAGTCTTTGAATTGGGGTCATAGAGTACAACTTAAAGACAAGTAAGTTGTTTTTTTTTTTTTTTTTTTTCTTAACCCAAGAGGGTGCTGAAAGGTTTTTGGCATCAGCCACTTTACAAAAATATAAACTTGGTCAGGGTTGAGAACTTTTCAGCAATCATATGTACTTTGGTTTTATTCAACTCTACATTTGAAAAATTTCCTCAACACTGAAGTTTATTTTTAAACAAAAAGTGACATGTTTTTATCATTTTTAAGTTTCTTTCTCAAAGAAAGCCGGAGAGTGTCTATTTTTCTTTTATAAGATTTCTCTAATATTCAGGTTGTTGATGAAAATAAATTCACTGTTGAATAAATAAGCAGAGCATCCACTCAAATATAGGCATCCTCTTAAATAACATTTAAAGTGATAAAATATGTTGGATTAACACACACACACACACACACACACACACACACACATATATATATATATATATATATATATATATGTGTGTGTGTGTGCACGTGTCCAAGTGATTAGAGCATTCACATTCTGACCATGCGACCCAGGTTCGAATGCCACGGGTTGACCCAAGCCTTGTGAGTGAAATTGGGTAGATGGAATACATGGGATCTGTTGATAGCTGTGCTAATATGAAATCACAAGTCATCATGACCGAGGGTTTGAGTGTGCTGGCATTGTTCAGATTGTTGATCATGCTAGATAACATAACACACTCTCTCCCAGAAACTGTAACTATGGTGTGCTCAGCATAGTTGAAGTATAAACCACAGGTGGGTTCTGTGAATGTTGAACAAACACAAATGTGCCTGAGTGAAAGTTTGCAATAGAGATTGGCTAGCTGCCCTAGTAGATGAGTATCTTCATATATGAGCAGCCAGCTATATATATATATATATATATGTGTGTGTGTGTGTGTGTTTTGAATAGTGGTAGAAACGTTTATTTGCGAAGGCTCAGAATAAATGCTCCTACCATCATTGAAAACAACAACACAAAAAAATACAACTTAAACAGTTAAACATGAAGAGAAATTAACACCCCAAAATAAATCCCTTGAAACTGGCTAAAGAAGTGGCTAAAAGCACTTGGGACAATGGACAATGCAAACAATTTTTGTACTCCCCTGCTCCCACAAAATGGAAAATTGTCAGAATGCTGGAAAAACTAAATAGAAAATTAATTCAATTTTCCTTGTCTGTCATATTCAATGATTGCTCTTCAGTTATGAATTGAGTGCTATTGGCCTCTAGCATCACCTATATAATACATTAAAAATATCCCTTTCCTTGCCATGCACTGATATCTTAGGGAGAGAACCTCTGACTAATGCCAAATCCGTTGAGTTTCGATCACGGGTTGAAGCAATCGGATGTTTAGCCACATTAATGAGATGTGATACAACAAAACAGGCTTGTATATGGATGATATAAAACCATTTATACCTTCAGTCTGATGAGTGTCTTATCAGACCGAAGATATAAATGGTTTTATATCTTCAGTCTGATGGGACCTACTGGTCAAAATAAATCCTGATTTGTTACCGTATTTTTGTGATATGTTAAGCTTTTCCTTGATGTATATTATATTGCTCTGTATTCTATACTTTTAGCTCTTTATGGATTTATCTTTTTAATATTTTATATTAAAAAGAACCATTTGGATTTTCCTTTCTATTTATGGATTTTATATAATCCAGGCACGGTGGAGTAATGGATAACGGCTTCGTTTGAGGAATCAGAGAGCCGAATTCCAGTCAAATCCATTACATTCATTGTTAATACCCTTGGGAAAGGTGTGAATCCTCTTCTTCTCCCTCCAGCTATGGGTAAATAGCAGGACAGACTGGGTTCTATAGCCTTGGATGACAACTGGTCTAGAAGAAGGACAACTCTGAATTCAAAATCTAGTGGTGACCCTGGGGCACGTAGTGTACCAGGTCTCTGTATTTGGCCCTTCAAAAAGTGTGGATGGTCCTGCACAAAGCCTTCACCACTATAATCAAATCTCATCTGCTGTTGTCGGGCTTTCGGTTTCCTGGGAACTGGTATGCTTGAACCTCATGTGTCGAATACGATATATATATATATATATATATATATATATATATATATATATTATTTCAGATTTTGGGTATTGGTTTCATTTTATTTCTCTAAAAAAAAAACTCCCCTCCCTTTTTAACCACATCTAAAATTTCCTTTTGGTTTGTGCAATTTCCAATTTCTATTTTAAGTTCTGATTTCTTTTCTCTTCCAACAGAGATGTTACCTACTTCAATGCCAAAGGATCGTTCTTAGATAATAAAACATTAGAAGCTGTGAATGCCAAAGGACAGAAGGTTGGTTTATATTTAGGAATGTTTGCAATAAATGTTCTAGAGAGAAATGTATTTTTTTTATACAATTATTTATATATATAAAAAAGTTTAAAAGCTTAACCCAATCATAAGATAGAAAAACCCTTTATGAAGTCATCAAAAAACAAATTGTAGTTCAGTGCAACGCGTTTATGTACGAAACAGCCCTTTAGGAAAAAAAAAAATAAATAAAATAAAACAAAATTCTCTAGACACTTAATCCCATGTTATGGTGCCAAAAACTATCTTTCGCTGTGACTGACCAGATGATGTGTGTACATGAATGTCATCATTCACTTTGAAATGGATACCCCAACCATACCTCGGCTTGACCTCTTTCCGAAGGTGACTGATATGTGGATAAAAATTAACTCTTAGGCCCCTTGTCAAAATGGTCGCCCCAGCCGTTTCCATAGTAACTAATTTTGTGAATGAACATGCTTATAAAGATGTGTAAATTTCAAGATTGGTTATTCCTAAATTTTCGCTTGAGGATGAAACAGGGCTTGATACTTTAATTCAATTTAATTTTAATAATTATACTGAGGTTTTCGGCTCTCATTTTTGAAACATGAGAACTCTTATGTAGTGAAGGAATCATATTTTTTTAAAAAATTATAATATATATATATATATACTAGTAATGGTAAGCACCATTGTGCAGGCCAAGTCTCATGTCTTTTCTCTACTGTGCTACACAATCATTTCCTTGTTTGAGAGATTTGTGCATAGTAAAATTATAATTAATACAGTTTCATAAATCTAAACTGTAGTTGTTAATTCATAAACAGAATGTTTTTTTAGGCCATGTTCCTTCAGGACGTAGGTGATAATGGCCCTCCACACATTCCTTTTTTATCTCTGAATTACTATTACTTCTTAAGAAATATTATTTTACAGTTTCTCATTGACTTCAGCACAATTTTAAATTCAGTTATCTTTCTTCTTCTGGTTGCTACCTATGCCCAGTTTGCATTGTTATTTAAGCCATATAGGAGGGGTGAATAGATGAAGCAGATTCATTCCTTTCTCATAGGACAATTATTTATAACAGCCTCTCCCTAAAAATGTCTGAAAAGGTAGGGTGTATTCATAACAGACCGTATGCATGAACAAATACTCTTCTACAGGGTTACTCAGTTGACAGTGATATGTAATTGAATGAGTTTGTGTACTGGGCAACTGTTGTATTCACAACCAGTTTGAAAAGATAGTCATTTTGTCCCTTGTCTTATCAGTGACACAGCTCTATCATAGACTAATTCTATGAGGGTAAGTCAAAAACTATCTGCACTTTTGCCATAACATATCTTTGTTTGTGTTATACCTGACGTACCTATTCTATTATTAATAGACTCTCCCACACATAATAAGTAGTAGTAGTAGCGGTCACCAGTTAGGCTCATTTGTGTTGAGCGAGTCAGTCGATATCGGACATTGAAGTACCAACCATCACAACTAGATTGCTGCATCATTAACTCTTATTTCAAGTTCCTAACATTTTGTACGTCGAACCTAATTTAGGACGACTTATTGAAATACAAGCCTCCACTGTGAAAACTACTCTACAACAGTTTGATACACTGCCTTCGACTCTTGTGTGCTTATAGTTGTTCAAAGTTTGAGCCTGAGGCTGTTACAGTGTAAACATAACCGCTCTTCAAGCAGTGTGCATCAAGGAAGAACAAAAAGCAGTGATCTGAATCTGCAGAGAACATGCTATCTCTTCAATGACAACTCACCAGTGGTGGAGGTTAATGGGTGTCCTGCCCCTTCTTCCTGCATCAAGCTTTCCCAGCCACTTTTAAACTTTTTGATTCATTTATACACACTTCTACATTGTAGTGCACAGTCAGTGTATTCTGATGATTTCCAGCTCCTGACATGCCTTCCAACCAGAGAAATCTGATCACTGTTCTTTGTTTCTCCTTGGTGCATACTGCTAAGGGAGCGGTCATGTATACATTGTAACAGCAGATAGAAAACTGGTGCGATCAAGCTCAAACTTTGATCATACAACCATAATAGTACCAACTATAAGCATGCTTGGCAGAAGGCAGTGGGACAAGCATCAGATATGTTATGGCGAAAGTGCAGATAATTTATTAAAAGAAAGCAATATTATATTTTTAAAAGGAAGTCTTTATTTTAATTATCCATTGTTTTGTTTCTTTGTTCATTATATTATAATTTTGTTATATTATTATTATGCCTTTAGAATATTTAATTATTATTCATATACATGTTTAAGTCAAGGTATACATCATTAGTTTTATTTTTAAAATAAGTTTTTTAGCAAGTTTAATTTAATAAGAACATCTATTATTACCACAAATTGTTAGGAATATTTAATGCATTGGATTGGCATGAATAATTCTATATTTATATATAAGCGTAACATTTGTCTTTTTTTTATGAAAGAGGACGTAATTTTTTTAAATTGTAGGAAATGCATTTTGAGTCGTAATGGCTGTTTTGTTTATCATTGACTATTGGTACAGTACAAGGCCTCTGAACAGAGATTGGAGGTATTGAGGAGCATGGAGCCCCTCTCTTAATTGCTGTTGTTCTCAGGTTCAACCTCACCTGGAGTGGTAGCACCTGTTAGGGCCCTAGCTCTGGGCAAATAGTGAACCACCAAACAAAAGAAAACACCACGAAAGTATAAAATGTACGTTTCTATAGTAAAAATACCAGCAATATATTTTATATAAAAAAAATAACCAACAATACCTGTTTATAGTAAAATTATGAAATTACTTCAAAACTCTCAAGAAAATTACATTTTGGCATTAAATGACCCATAAGGAGCTGATATGCCATTAAACAAATCAATACGGGCACATGGCTGAGTGGTTAGAATGTTCGCTTTCTGACCATGAGATCTGGGTTCGAATCTCACTATGGTCGATTTGACCCAAGCCTTGTGAGTGAAATTGGGTAGACAGAATCCTAAGGAGCACAAAGTCACAAGTCATTGTGACTGAGGGTTTGATCATGCTGGCCTTGTTCAGATTCCAAAGATCATTAGTGTGAAAGTGTACACAATAGTGTGGTAATAAAATAGGCACATCTTATCTCCCCTCTTGCTTATAACCATCCTCTATAATAAAATAAATGTTTTCAGGTGAATTTGTCAAGTAATGCCGCTACTTAGAGTTGTTGCTTTATTACAAATAGTCATGCCTTGAATTTGAACACAGCTTGCTGGTCTCCCTTTTTTGCACTGGTAACACACTGCCTGTACATCAACCCCAATTGAATATGTTCGAAGAATGAAAGATTATAATAAGGATTTTATTTTTCATTTGTAAAATATTCACATTTTCTTCTATTAATGTCAAAAAAATATATTTCAGTATTTAATATTACATGATTAAAAAATGTGGAGACATGTTTTTGAAGCTTTTCTTTTTTTTATCCATCCAGAAAATTCTGAAAGGTGACCAATTTGTCATTGCTGTTGGAGGTCGTCCAACAATACCAAATGTAAGTTTTTAAACTGTCTTACAAATTCTATCTTGTCTACAATTTCAGCTAGAAAGAACTTTAATGTTAGAGGAATCAAATTTAATCAATCATAATAGCAAGACTTACCATTTTTTGTTGGAATTTTGAAAATGAGGAATTATTTGTCTTTCCATTCAGATTAATATCCTCATCAATGTTGTTATACTCACATTTTGTCCACTCTAATCTTTGGCCTTTTTTTCTTTTGTTCGATGTAACTGTCTCCAAATTTTAAACAAAACCCTTTATTCAATCCATGGGGACAGATTGTTCTCCTTCCACTTTCCATGTTTGGGGGAGATAACTCATACCAGTTAATATTCTCTTTTGTCTATTTGCCTTTGTGTCTCTTGTCCATTTCTTCTACTGAATGAATGTCTATGACTTTTCAGCACTATCCGACCTTGACATTGGACTCAAAACTTCAAGGGTATTTCTTAATTAACGCCTACAAGTGACACAAAGGCATAATAGAAGTGATTTAACCAAGACAAGATGCCTTCTAAGTATGGAAAAAAAAAGGAATGAGAACAACCGACACATTTGGATTGAATAAGGTGTTCAGTTCAAAATTGAGAAAAGGTTACCAAGTACGACAAACAACTGATGTGTATAACAGGCAAAACATGGGAATGACAATCAAGATGAGGATACTAGTCCAAATGGAAACGCATGTAGTGAGACTATTATCTTTTGATTCTTATCAGATGTAAAAATCTTTTCTAATTATTCACCAATTTAGACACTAACAAATGTAGTCCCAATTACCAAACCTTATGAAAAGATTAGCAAAAGCTTATGGAAATAAGATGAAAGTATTTGTCTATATTTCTGAGATACAGACTATTGTCCTTTTCAGTTGATGCACACTTCAGCCTTCATTAGGTGTATATAGACCTGGGTGACTTACTGTGGCGGACATGAGACAGAACCTGGGACCAGCACAACTGGTCGCGACTTGCCTTGTCCCCGCCAAAAAAGAGCCCGTATTTGCTTAGCATGTAAAGCTACTGCAGTTGAAATGAGGGAGAGAAAAAAAAGCACTTACCGCTCTGCCGTAATCCATTCTCGGCCAGATAACGTAAAAGAATGAGGGGGGACTGGCATTGCATTTTTATGCAATAACGATGCAATGCATTATGGGACATGGACGCAATGAATTATGGGATCACATGAAAATGCAAGGGATTATGGGTATATGAACAACTATAAAAGCAACTACTTTTTTCTGAGTCGGGGAGTTCTTCGAGGGACGTTCACGGTTAACGGCAAGAACGGGCAGTTAGTGTGATTTGGAGACAGAACTCAAGAAGGAACGACTCAATGTTGAAATACCAGCTGGGAGAGCTTGAATTTACTCGCTGGTTACTGTTTTCTTTATTCGCCTCACTTACAAAGAATTCTAAACTGAACACTTTATTTAATCTATGAGGGAGATTGGAACTTTGAAAAATTACTAATTTTGTCTATAATTCTGAGATGAGGTATTGTAACTATTTACATTGTTCAAACTATTGTCATCTTCACAATGTTGAAATGATAGACAAAACATCATTGGAAAATACGAAAACTTAAAGAATCAGCAATTATGCTTGGGCACAAAACTCTCTTAGGCCGAGATGAATATAATATGGGAACCAGTAATACAGAGAGCTAGAGAAAAACAACAATAACATAAATTGTAATATGAGCTCTGATAAAAAAGAAAAAAATGGTTGCAGAAATATTAGGTTGATAAGCCCCCAAAATTCACTCACTGATGTACCCAAGTAGATAAAAACATTGGTTGAAGTAATCCAAAAGTGACTTGACCCAAAGAGTTCAATAATATGGCCATAGCAGAGGAAACAAAAATTTGTAGTGTTAAGTTACTAGAGGAATTGACTGAAACTAAGATATCCAAATAAGGCATGTTATGTGGAATTAGACAATCTAATGAAAGGTTACATTCAAAATTCCAACGTATATCACCTGAAGAAGGCCGAAACTTACAACGCCCAACATATTGTGAATATGGCTACAAAGATGATGACAAGAGTCCGAATGATGTAACATTGTTTGGACTCTTCTCCTCATCTATATTGCCATATTCACAACATTTCAGCCATTGTAAACTCTGAACCAAAACCTATATTTAGTCCACAGAGATAGAATATTCTAATTCCATGTGCCATAACTTTGGATATCTCAGCTTCAGTTAATTCCCATTCATAACACAGCTCTCCAAGTCTTTTGTTCTGCTATGGCCAGGGATTGCACTCGCAATTCACTTTCAGGATCAATCGACCAACACTTTTAGCTACTGGGTCACGTATTCTTGGAGACATTATTGATTCCAACAAATGTCACCTGAAGAAGGCTGGAGCATACAATGGCCGAAATATTGTAAATAAATGGCTATAAAGATGAGGACAACAGTCCGAACGATATAGTGTAAATATTCTGAAAGGTTTTACAACTACAAGATGAATATTTGAAAGACTTTGAATTTATTTTTGTTCTCTTTTATCATAAGATTCCTGGTGCCCTGGATTATTCCATTACAAGTGATGACCTCTTTTGGCTCAAGGAATCCCCTGGAAAGACGTAAGCAGCTGTATTAACAATTATAAAAATTTTCTGCTTAAAATTCTTTCTCCTTTGGCAAAGTATTTCCCAAAATAATCATAGAATTAAAGTGCATGGAATTATTCTCTTTTAAAGTCTTTAAATCTTCATGACTGACACAAGAATGTTTTAATTGCTGACATCAAGAATTGTTCAAATTCTATTGGTTCATTTTTGTTTCTATTTTCTACTGACTTTCATAAATTGTGTGTGATTTATATTTCCCTTAGACATCTTGCCTATTTGTGGATCGTATTCTAGGATAGGAGGCACAGTGGAGTAATGGATAGTGACTTGGATTGAGGAATCTGAGAGCCGAAATCGAAATCCAGTCAGATTCATTACATTCACTTACGTGTTAATACCCTTGGGAAAGGTATGAATATTCTAATGCTATGGGTAAATAAATAACAGGACAGACCAGGTTCTATAGCCTTGGATGACAACCTACTGCAGGAAAAAATCTGCCTTGTCAGTCATGTATTGAAAGATACATGACCACCTAAGCATGTATCACACATGGCATGTAACTGACTGATTCTAAGACAGATGTACAGGTAGTGTAATGATTATTAGAACCAAAAATGGCATAGTCTTTTGCACCAATGCCTTTGGGAAAGGTAAAGATCTTTTTTTCTTCTAGATGCTACAAATTAAATAGTAGGGCGGAGAGGGCTTTTTTGCATTTGTGGTATAAGCAGTTTCATAGGACAACTTGGAATTCCAAAATGTAAGGAAGGCAACAAAGAAACCACTCTGTCTTTTGCAAGTTCTGGCAATTCAAAGATAAAAGAATCTGAGGACAGCCACAGCTGCCTTTGTCCTGAAGGTACATAGCATTTATTTTATTTATATATATTTTAATCATGAGCAAAAGTTGACCTTTTAACCATTGCAAACATAGAAAATGGTGGAAAGATGGTCAAAGCATCTTTTTTTTGTATGTCTTGACATCCACTTCTAATATTTCAGAGATGCAAAGTGGGTTATTTTAACTCATTATTTAAAATGTAAACTGGTGGGAATTTTTTTTTTAAAGATCTGAAAAGAGAACGGCCTGTAAATTTTAGGGCTGGTGTTTCTTTTTGTTTTGCAATGTACAAAATTTATCGGTACTGTGTTTCTCTCTACCCAAACAATGTGTGCAAAGTTAGTGTAGTGGATTGGTAAAAAGGATTGTAACTATTTGCATATGTTAAGTAGCAGTAATGTTAACTCCTCCTTAATTTCTTAATTGTTCAAATTGTTCACTAGGGCGCACTTTCCTGACACTATACGCGATGAGAACCTGCCTCGTCCTCTTCTTACTTTGCATTTCAGCAGACACATTTAAAAAAATGTGATCTCTCGCAGAGATTTGCATTTTGCCCACTTGTGGGTAAACATCATGAAACATACACATACACGGACATACAAACATTCATCAAAATATGATACGTTCACACACATGTTAATGTCTTTGTCCATTGTAAATTTTGTTGTTTAATGCATATACTTATTTGTATACATATATATCACTCTTGTTTGTTTTCTTTGCATTTCTTTGGTTGGAGTCCATCATATTCTTGTAGTGGACTTTATAATATTCTATCAGGAATCACACACATGTTCCTAATTTTACAACACATAAATCCATGGTCTGCTACAAGGCAATTAGTTTTTAACTTTTTGATCTTTTTGAATAGCTTTAGTTTCTATCTTGCCTTTTCTGAACAAGTAAAAGATTCACCCATTTTTATTTCCATATATGTGAGGTCTGCTTTAATCTTTGATCTGATATTAAATGAATGTTCATAATAGTTTCTTTCTTGGTGGGGCTATATTTTTTTTAAATATCTTTATACCTGAAGAGAATGACTTCATTTCTTTTTTGCTTTTTTTTCCCCCCCAGGTTGGTTGTGGGAGCAAGTTGTATCCTTTTGACCGCAACCGGTTAAAACAGCTGGACCAAAGACTAGTGTACAACATAAAAATATAAAATGATATTTTATCAGTTTTAATTTGTTCATATATTTATTAAATTTAAATTTTATAACCTTTCCATTTCTCTTTGATCCTTCTCGGGGATAATGTTTTGCACTTTTGGGGTGGAATGATTTTATTAAATCAGTTGCTAGGTCTTCTACTAAAAGAGTTGGTTCCCTGTATTGTGCTAGGCAGTTTTCTTGCCAGCATCTATCTTACATATTTATAAGTCTACCATTCATCCATGCATTGAATATTGCTGCCACATCTTATCTGGTGCTTCTACTATATATTTAGAGATTCTTGATAAAATCCAAAGAAGAATCAGCAATATTATTGGTCTTGACCTGGCATTTCAGCTTCAGTCATTTTCCCACCACCTTCGTGTAGCTTCCCTATGCCTTTTCTATAAATATTTTCATGGTAATTGTTCTGATGAGCTTTCTGTTTTCTTACCTCAAGTTTAAACACAGTACTAGATTAGCAGTTAGGTCTCATCATTTGACAGTTGAAATTGCTAGATATAACCATGAGTTCTATGCTGACATTTTCTTCTCTCACACTTCCTTCCTGCTTATGGAACTCTCTTTCTTACTTTCTAGTTAACTTTGATCTTCAAAAATTTAAAGGTAATGTCAATCATCATACTCTGTCTTATATCATGTTCTTTTATTGTCCACTCTCCTTAATAATGTTTTCTTTCTCAGATTCCTTCACACTCAGTAACACCTTACATTTTAGTGGCTTTATTGCCTTGCGGTCAAATAATTTAAAAAAGAAAAAATTTACACTCAAAGGCTTAATATCTTTATGAAACAAACTTGACTAAAAATTGTATACATTAGTCATTCTTTCTGTAGTCGAGTTTGTTAGCTGAGCAAAAAGTTTGTCCTGCAAACTTTTTTTTTTTCCTTCTTAAATCATTTCACCGAAGCAAGGAGGGAATTGCGACTTGTACGCAGGGGGTTACAGGGAGTGAAAGTGAAAGAAAAGACTGAGAATTGGAGGAATTGAGGAAAGGATAAAAAATGAGTGGAATTCAAGAAGATAGAAGATGGCGATTGATGTTGTATTTAAATTTTTGAAGATTATAGTTATCAGAGAAGCAAGTAAACAGAAGGGAGTTCCACAGGCAGGAAGTGCAAGAAAAGAAACTGTTGGAGTAGAAGTGGTGGTTGAATTTAACTATTTCAATAGTAAATGGTGGGGACCTAGAGGCCAATCTAGTAGCACACTTAAATTCCTGCAGTCGGAGCATCATGAGAAAAAAGCTTGTCAGAGAAGTTGCCATGAAAATATTTGTAGAAAAGACAGAGGGAAGCCATGTCATGTCAGTGAGAAAATAACTGAAGTCAAGATATGAAATCATGATCAATTACATTGCAGGTGAGTCTGTTCACTGAAAAAAATGCTTTCAAATTTCTTCTGCAATGGCAACCAAAAAATTACCTTGGCCCAAATTTACCTTGGTAAAGCAGTTACCGCTGCTTAGGCAGCTTGGAAGAATTCAAGGAACATAGTAGTCAGTATTATTAATACAGGGTGCAAATTGTTTTAAAATCCTAATGCAGGGTGCTAAATGTTTTAAAATTATAAGATGTGCACAAAATTTTTCAGCAATGAGGCTGTTTTTCCATTTTGTATTCAATCTCGTGTTTTAAAAAAAAGAGTTTTGGGAACATAAGTTTTTAGTCATTTTTTCGATCAACCTAATTAAACATAATTGTGTTTAACAAATAAGAATTAACATCAAGATGGCTCATTTGAACTGTGTTAAATTTTTTAAAATGCTACTTTTTTGTTCTCTTAACTCCATATGAAGATGTTGCTTTGGAATGTGCCGGATTTCTGGCTGGTGTTGGTTTGGATGTCACTGTTATGGTGCGGTCCATACCACTGAGGGGATTTGATCAGGTAAGACTTCTTCTTCTTTTCTTATATGCAATCTCCCCTCAGGACAAAAAGAATTTGTTATACACAAAAAATAAAAATACCAGAAAAATTTTTTTCTTTATTTCTATATCTCATTCTCTGAAATTTTAATAAAGCAAAACAGATTTATAAACGTTTCCTATTTGTTTTTTATCTTATCATACTATATATAATATATATATATATATATATATATACATGCATACACACACACACACAAAATAACTAACTCCCAAGTGAGTATACAAAAGTGGCACAATGGAGAAAAAAAGTTCAATGGCAGTGTGTTTATATTTATGTTCTAATAATCCAGCATTCACCCAACCAACTAATATATATATATATATATATATATATATATATATATATATATATATATATATATACTGTACTGATGCGGCATTCACCCTGGGCGGATTGAGCCAGCTTCTTCCTGTTATGAGAAGAAGATTCTTGAATAAATTACTGAAGTAGGGTACCCAGGCCTACTCAGATAACGTTCTTGCTTGCCAAAGGGGTCCCACAGATGCAGAGACAGGAACGACCAGAAGCCGTTGAGTTACCGATGCAGACGCTCCTTGGATTTTCACCAGAGCCCTTGTTAGCCGGCGTGTGTGTCAGACCTGTCCGCCTTGGGTAGCCCCTACCAGGAACGAAGTTCTGGGCGGCATAGCTCTGACACTACCGTTTACACCCCCCCCCACCGACTGTGAGGCTTTGCAAAAATAAATGAACCTCTGAGATAATACTGAAAAAAATTGTCTCTCTCTTTCCAGATAATCAACAAATCTTAATGAAACTATATAATAGGTACCTCCACTAATTTTAGATACCTAAGGATTAAAATGAATTTTTAAAAATGAAAAGCTTTCTTTTTAGCTTTAATTGAAAGCTAAATGATTATATTTACTATCCCTGTAAGTAAAATACTCTGGTGTATTTCAAACAGAAATTACACTGATTGGAATCTCAACTTTTTGGTTGCTTTCAGTAAAGTGATTAAAATTGGCCATTTTTGACACATTAGTAAACAAAAGTTCATCCTCGGTTTTAAAAATCTTCCAAAAATAAAATATACTTTTCTGAAACTTTATTTGAAGAATATTAGCTGATTTAAAGTATAATTAATCTGATTTGAAAAAAATATTTACTTTAAGTTTAAAATAACAGAGGAATGGATTTTTAAAATAAACAGTAGTGGTGATTATGCACTTGTCACTGCTGGTAAATCATTTAACAAGTGCTGATAAAGGTGTTGACACATTTATTGTTGTTCTACAGATATTTATCTGTTAAAACATAATTTAAGTAAGATAGGAGAGTGCCTTTTTTATATAATTTTTAAGTATTCAGTAATCTTAAAAATGTTGGAAAATATTCTCTGTAATCTAATTTTAAGAATGTTGACTTTAATATAGTCTCTTATTTTCTGATAAAGTCATGTATGGTCAACCATACTTTCAAACAGGGGCATGTTACATAATAATTTATATACATAACAAAATTAAAACTTATTTTAAAAATTTTGAAGCAGAATACTTTGTATTAAGCTTTTCAATTTTTGATTAGTAAATATAGCTTTCACTTAATAATAACCAGATGAAAGTAATTCAGAATTTTAAGATTTGTATATTATAAATTATTATAATTAAAATTAAAAAAAAAAAAAAAACAATTCTTGTAAAAATTCATTGTTCATCAAAAAAAATTTTTCTTAAAACAATAATATCCTTAAAAAATCTTATTTATAAAAGAAATTAAAAGCTTTTCTAATTAATGTCATAGTTTTATTGCATTTTTTTTATTTTATAATTCGGAACAGATTTTCTGGAAATAAGTAGTAGTTTGAAAAAAAGAAAATTGTTGATTTACATTCTCCAGGGAGTTCTTTTAACTTTTGTTTTTTTTTATTTTTTGGATAAAGATTTAATTTCAAAATTTCATGAAATTAAATGTGGTGGGGAGGGAGTAACATAAGTTAAAAAAAAAAAAAATTTTTACCAAGAGTTTCAAAAAAAAAAAATTTTTTTTTTTAATAATTTCATATATGCAAAACACTAATGGTAAATAGTATAATGGCCACTGACACAAAACAAAACGAGATTTTTAACCAAAATTTTGAACATGCTAGAAAGGATTAAAAAAATCTTTTTAAATAAAAAAAAATACTTTGGTCTTTCCTAAACATTTTACCAATAAAATTTTGTTTTTATTAAATTTGGGACCTTTTGTTCATCATGGCTATGCTGCTTTTTTCTACAGAAAGTTGAAGTCCCAACTATAGAATCTTTAAGAAAAACATTTATTAAACAAATTACAACCACTTTCAAAATTTTTTATCAAGGTGGAATAGAAATATTAATTAAAAATTAAAATGGGCAAAAGTGAACCCTTATAATAATTGGTGACTCATCATTTTGAGAGGTCATATCAACCCATTTTTTTCTATAATTTTTAAGAAGTTTCTAACAGTAGTGAGTGCCGATTTTTGGTCATTCTTCTTGGTAAAGCTACCATGTAAAATGGCTTTCTCAAAGAAATAAAAACAATTGAAGAAAATTTTTTTTTTTAACTAATGTTCTCCTGAGGCTCAAAGGCCACTCAAGGTAGAGGACTATGGAATGAGGCGAGTGATTTTGAGAAAGGTTTTGATTTTTCTGCACATTTAATCTGCAGAAAATAATTAAAACATTAGATGAGGTGCTGCTGAAAAGTTTGGAATATTTCATTAAGAAATGGTTTCCCCAGTAACAACTAGTTTCCACTGTCTCTTTCAAAGTCATCCCTTCTTCTCACAAAGGCATAAGTCAGTACTACACTTTGTATGTACCGTTTCAACTTTTCAATAGCACCAGAGACAGGTGCTATTGAAAAATAAAACTATTGCTTCCAAAAGTAATAACTTTCTTTTTTTTTTTTTAACTGATTTTTTTTTAACCAATTATTATAAGGGTTCAATACAAAGCTCAAAATTCACTCGAGGTAGACGGTTACAGAATGAGGTTGTGTGATGTGAATGTGAAAGAAGTAAAGATTATGAATATATAGATAATGATTAGGCATGAAGGAGTTAAGAGTGTAGCGTTTGGGAGTCTGTTCCATAAAGCAGTGGTTCTTGGAGAAAGGCTGTTGGAGTGGAACTTCCTCCTTATAGTTGGAATATGGTAGGAATAAGGGTGATTCAACTCTGTGGATATAGCATATCCAGTCTTAGACGGTTACAGAATGAGGTTGTGTGTTGTAAATGTGAAAGAAAAGATGTAAAGATTATGAATATATGGAGGATAGATTTAAAATATGATTAACTCAAGGCATGAAGCATTTTGGGAAACATCCCCACGGGAGTCTGTGGGAAATGTTTGGTGAGAGACAGGTCAGGTAATTCGACAACTTCTTCAATCTGTTCAAATTCCCTCAACTTTATCAAATATTTCTATAACTCGAAAAGCTCATCAACTGAAGTGCCATCAAATTTTGCTTACAGGAAATGGCAAAGCTTGTATGCACCCACATGGAAAAACACGGTGTCAAGTTTTTGCCCAAGTGCTTACCACAACAACTGGACAAAATAACCAATGGTCAGATCAGGGTTAAATATACATCTGGTGTTGGTGAAAAAATGGAAGACCATTTCAATACCGTCTTAATGGCTACAGGTAAATCAATCTTGCATTTCGTTTTTTCTTGCCAACTTCTATAAAAATTAGTCTAAAAAAGAACATTTTTTTAAGCTTCTATGACTATAGAAAAAAATGTTGACTTAACTCCTCAGCCAAAGTACTCCTGTGTTGCATGCTGTTTTTGTATGTGAGAGAGAAAGAAAAATGTATCTCTACTGGACGAGGTCAGTATTATAGGTCAACATATTCCTAGTCATGTAGTATGGATCTCTTTGCATTTCCAATCTGGAATCACCTGTCTTACAAGAATCGCTGGAAATGGGTTGCACTGGTCTATATATTTGCCATAATTTCTTTCGTTTTCTACTTTTCTTTTATTTTTAAAGAAATTTTCAACTTCTCTTTCCTTAGAGATTGTACACTTGAAGAAGGCTTTTAAGTATATCTACCCATGTTGAAATGTGTCACAAAAGAAAAAGAAAAGAAAAAATTTTGTCTTTCTCTCCTACTGTCATAGCGACGGGCACAGCCTCCACTTCTGAGATGAACTGCCCTCCTTCTCATTCCAGCCCTTTACATAGAGCTTGGTAACTCACCTATGCAAAACACCAACAAGCCAGCTACCAATCACAGTTTCCACGCCTACCCACCTCCACTCGCTTTGGGGGTGTCAAGTTGACCGACCAACTGATTACACTACCAAAATGTTGTCATAACAACAAAAGTATCTCTGAAGAATCTATAAAAATGTTTGACAAATTTTCTTTTGCAGGACGATGGCCAGAGACAAAAGCCTTAAATCTGCACAATACGTCAGTGGAAATTGATTCTTCTACAGGCAAAATAATTGGTGGATTTAACAATGACTTAGAAAAATCTTCTGCTGACAACATCTACGCTATTGGTGATATACTGCTGGTAAGGTCTTCATCATCCACTATCTATTCACTTAACTCCAGCCTCTAACTTTTTAAGAAGCTCTAGTTTGCCACTGATACTTAAGTTTGTATTCTTCCTTTTTACACTTTTCTTCTGCTTCAATGCCATGATGAGAGCAGAACAATTAATATATTAATCAAAATAACAAAAATAATAGAATTCTGACAGCTACTTTCTCACACACACACATGAATATGTCGTACTTTATATACTGTACACCTATCTTTGTTTACAATTCAAAGGCCCGTCACCACCACCAAGCAGTCACTTTGAGAACTAATATGACTTTTTCCACTATGCCCACAGATTTTGAAATACATCGCTGATGATTTGGAAGTTTTTTTGCCTGCAGATTTTTTTTTTTATTTTGCCTGCAGATTTTGTCCATTGCATCCAAAGTCCATTGATGGGGGTCTGTAGATGAGAGATTTATCTGTTTATATTTTCAATTTAAATAATAGATAAAACTTACAGTCTTTCTTTTACAGTGTCTGCTTTAAAAGTGATTTTGACTCATATATTGTGTATATGTAAATGCATTGTAAATTATAATAGAAATGTAATAAAAATTAGATGAAAAGCATTGTCAATGGTCAGAAAATTAAATCATAGAATAGAGATGCTGTATCAATAATTTGTCTGTCTACAGTACATTTTGCATGTTTTTTATTTTTTTGCAAAAATGTTTACAGCACAATTTCTTGAAAATCAAAAATTACCTGCTGCTGTTTCAATTGATTAAATCTCTCTAATGGCCTCCATAAAGCATTGTTTTTAGAATTTCATTTCACCAATTTTTTTTTTTTTGTTGATGGCTTCAATAAATATTAAGATTCTCTCCTGAAAAAAATTCCCACATTTCTTTATGATTTTGGCCAAAACCTTGGTTCCCTAAAAACCTCCAATTACAAAAAAAATGAATGCTAATTTTTAAAGTAAATTGTTAGGAGAGTTTGGTTTTCATACTTTTTCTTTATCCTTTCTCCTCAAGAAAGGTAATAAAGCCACTAAGATGCAAGGGGTTACTGAGTGTGAGAGAATATGAAAAAAAGAAAAACATTAAGGAGAGAGAGAGAACAATAAAAGAACAGGAATTAAGAAGACAGAAGATAATGATTGATTTTGTATTTTTGATTTGTGAAAATCAAATTTGACTGGGAAGCAAGAAACTGGAAAAGAATTCCACAAGTGCAAGAGAAGAAACTGTTAGCACAGAACTTACGGTTACATCTAATAATTTCAACTGTAAAATGATGAGACCTAGCTGCCAATCTAGTACTGTGCTTAAATTCATGAAATCAAGGTACCAAAAAGGAAAGCTCATCAGAACAATTACCATGAAAATATTTATAGAAAAGGTACAGGGAAGCTACATTACGGTGGTGGGAAAATGACTTAAAATGAGATGCCAGGTTAGGACCAATAAGATTGCAGATTCTTTTTTGTATTTTATCTAGAATCTCTAAATATACATAGCAAAAGAACCAGACTGGATGTGGCAGAAATATTCAATATATATATATATATATATATACTTTTTATACTCATACATAAAAAAATTTCTCATTATTTTCCTTACAGAATCGACCTGAATTGACCCCTGTTGCTATCAGGGCTGGGAAATTGCTTGCACGCCGTCTTTTTGGAGGTTCCACATTACAGATGGACTACACCTCGGTGAGTTTATTGTCATTGTCATTTAATGTGTAGTTATAGCAGAATTTAGAATTAAACTCCTTTTTCCATTGACATGGCATTTTGGCTGTTGTGCCCTCTGACCTTCCTTAGATGTATATTGTTCTGGATAACCTACAGTAAAATTGAACCCTTTATTTAATCTACAGGAGTACATTGTTCTTGTTCCACTGCACATGTCTAGGGATATCTTTTTTTTTTATTTAGTACTGCTCAGTTATTCTTGCCTGTTTCCATTGAGTGGCAAGTAAACCACTGCCCAGCCCAGAGATTGAACTCCCAATCACTGTCACCAAATTCACAAACCATTACTTTAATTCACTAAGCCATAAGACAATTTACTGTAGTGAAAATACAATATGTTTCCCATCTCTCACCCGCCAACAATTAATCTTTCCTGCGGCATAGATACATGTTACACTGGATGAGGGAGAAACAATTACCCTCTAACAACAAGTTGAATTTTTACAAATATGACAAGTCTTATGAAGAACCTCTTCAGTCAGTTGTAAGATTTGTTGTATTTGGATTGGGAAATATAATAAATTGTGATGTTTTTTGTTGTTTTTTTTTTTTTTTATTGAGGTGTCAAACTGAAATATTTGTTGTTGGAACTTAAATTGTTTTTGTTCCTTCTCTGTCCTCTTTGCCATAATTGTTCCTGTACTGATTGCTAAGTTTATAAATAAATTGTATATGTTGTATCCTTAAAGAGGTTACAAACAAACAAAAGGTGGTACTCGAGTGAAGGAACAGCAACATGCATGTAGATGAAAGAAAAGAGGTTTATTGTAAAAGAGAACACACTACTGAAAGACAGGGAATCTGGTGGCAGGCTAGTAATTCCCAAAGCAAGCACCCTGGGTATATCCTGTGCTGTGACGTTCTAACCTTTTGGTGATTCGGATGGGAATCTGGTTAGATTCGATATCAGCCTCGTCGTTCCCAACTCGCTTCCAACGTCTGGTTACCAAAGTAACTGCGTTGATCTCCAGTCTGCCTACCCACGTTGTGAATTGATCTTAGGCAGACAAAATCAATCAGTAGTTGGGACCGTAATGCAAAGTGAGTTCAAACGGGGGTAATATCACACAAATATGCATAAAAGAAAATAAAATGATAACTCAAAAGTTCAAGGTAACAAAGAAAAAAGGATAACAAAACTTTGTCTAGTTGCTGGATACATAGGACTGAAATCTTCGTCTGTAATCAAAAGCTACTAATATAGTCAGTCCACATAGGCAATAGGAAGAGTGGGACATTCCATTATGACAGAAAGGAACCCCCATCACTACTGAAAAGAGCAATAACTCCTATTGGACTTGAGAAATCTGTTTTCCCAAAAATTAAAATATGGCCAGCATTCATGTGATTGTTATTGCAATATTTTATTAAAGTTGTTAAACTCAAATATTTAACTTTAAAATCTTTCTTGAAGCTTTTATTTTAGTTTTAATTCCAAACTGATGGATTAAATTTAATATTTCCAATAAGCAAAATACTTTGCTGTATTTAAAAAACTAATTTAAATTGAAGAGAGATTTTTTTTCTAAACTAGCTGATTGGTGCCCTTTTTTTTAGTCATCTTTCATCACAATGTAACTTTCTTTATTAAAAAAAAAATCTTCCAGAAATAAAATATATTTTGCTGAAACTTTATTTGAAGAACATTAGCTGATTTAAAGTATAATTAATCTGATTTGAAGCAAATATTTTTACTTTAAGTTTAAAATATCACAGAAATGCATTTTTTAATCCAACAGTAGTTCAGATCTAATGTTGTTCTACAGAGATAGTTATTACTCTTATTTTCTGATCATGTTGCATATGGTTGCCTGTATTTACAAAAATTGGCACATTTATGCACAAAAAAAATTCAAAATTCTTTTAAAAATATTGGTTTTTGATGATTTGCATTAATCTTTTTCATTTTAGTAAATATAGTTTTACTTAATAATAATATTATCTAAAAAGCTGAAATTAATACAGAATTTTAAAAGATTTAAAACTTAATAATTTTTTTGTAATTAAAATTTAAAAAGAAAACAATTCTTATAAAAATTTATTATTCATCAAAAAAAATTTCTTTAGACAATAATAGTGTTAATAAATCTTATTTATAAAAGCAATTAAACACTTTTAATTAAATAATATCATAATTTTATTACATTTTTTATTTTATGATTCAGAGCAGATTTTTGGTAAATGGTGTTTCTGTTTGACAAAATCAAATTGAAGATTTAAAGGAGTCCTGCTTTTAACTAATATAAATATGAAGTGGGTGGAATTTTAATTTCTCCATATTTCATAAGATTAAGATAGAAAAAAGAAAATATTTTTGCTAAGATTTTCTATAAAAAAAATTTCCCAAATAATTTCATTCATTTATGAATAAGTCTTGAAAATTTCATTAAAATCTGTGAATTATTTGATTTTTGTTAAAAAAAAAAATTTTCAAAACAAGAATTTCCAAGACCCTAAAGATCTCTATACTAATCTTTGGTACAACTGGTGATGCAAGAAAAACAAGATTTTTAACAAAAATTTTGAATGTGCTTGAAAGGATTAAAAAATTTGATAAAATAATCAAAAAATATTTTTTCTTTCCTCTTAATAATAACAAACATTTTGATGGTAAATCTTTGTTTTTACCAAATTTGGGACTTTTTTCATTACACTATGCTCTTTTCTAGGAAATTTTTGGAGTTAGCAAAATAAATGATTGAATTTCTTAGACACACACAAGGTCGGTTACTTGTTCCCAATCACACCTATTTGCTAAGACAGCTAGTCATTCCCTGTTGCAGATGTTTGCTCAGGCACATTTTTGTCTGTTCAACACCCATGGAGCCCACCTGTGGTTTATACAGCAACTATGATGAGCGAACCTTAGTTACAGTTTCTGGGAATGCACACATAATCTGCTATGATCAGCAATTTGGATAATACCAGTCCACTCAAACGCTCAGTCAACCATCAAAGATCAGTTTCATTTACCCAATTTCACTCACAAAACTTGTGTCAACCATGCTATGGAGTTTTCAGCCACTTTCCAAAGGTTCTCAACAAATCGGTGAGATTTAAACCCGGGTCTCATGGTAGAAAGTGAAACATTCTAACCCTTCAGCCATTTGCTCATATATCGGTAAATGTTTTTTAAAAACTCATCTCACTAGACATGTTGGTTATTGTAAAATGGATTTTCCCTGACATTTTTTTTTCCTTCCCAGATTGGTACAACAGTATTTACACCCCTGGAGTATAGCTGTGTTGGAATTTCTGAAGAGGAAGCTATTCACAAATTTGGAGAAGACTCCATTGAGGGTTTTTTTTTTTTTTTTTTTTTTTTTTTTTTTTTTGGAATATTTGAAATACCTGATGATAATATTCAGTCCCCCCCCACGAGGGGGTCATGTGGCACAAAGCCTTTTTAACATGGGCATTCCGAGCCATTAGGCTCGGCCAAAAAATAGCCCATTTGAACCCGTATGAACGGGTTCAGGGCCGGTTTTACCTCCCCGAAGGAGACTCCACCCTTCGGCGTAGTCTCCTTCGGGTTCCTCCCGCCCGTAGGAAGAGAGTTAAACTGAACAGTCGGTTCAGAAGTGAACTACTGACTGATTTGAAATACCTGATTATGTCCTTGTCTTTAAAAATAATATGTTTATTACTTAGAAGTGTTTTTTTTTTTTTTTTTTTTTTGTGGTGGGAGGATTTTGTTTTTTATACAAGTAAACAAGAACTTTTACTTCTCACCAACACTCAATTGTGACTTCCAGGCTTGATGTCGTGTCTGCTTGAAAACCAACCTTCCTCAATTCATATGCTTCCTTCTGGTCGATTACACTAACATGATTTTTTTTTGTCCTTGGATACCAACTGTTATTTGCCATTTGCTAGAATGTATGAAAAATGGCTAATATTTCCTTCAAACTTTGCTTTTATGACCAGAATAATGATATTTCTGAAATGTTCCCATACCTACTGCAAAAACTGACAAATGTCAACATCCTCGTTCACACAAAGTAGAAACAAAATGGCATATGATTTAAAAATGACATTTATTTTAGGATTACACAAGAGACCACTAAAAATTTATAAGTGAGTAGATTTTTGTAATTTACACCCATACCATAAATTACTTTCACGAATCATCCCCCAAATATAGTCTCCCATCATATTTTCGTTATACGATTCTTGGTAGCTAGAAGATTCTCGAAATTTTTGGAACTTCTCCTTCAGCAACTCTAGTCCTGGGTATGATGATATACATCAAGCAGCAAGGCCTCTGATCGAGAGATTGGAGATTTTGAGGAGCCTGGGACCACCTCGTAATTGCTGTTGTTCACCATGACCTGGGGTGGTAGCACCGGTTCGGATCCCAGCTATGGGCAAATAGTGAACTCACAAACAAAAAGAAGACTATGAAAGTATAAAAATACATTTTTATAGTCAAAATACCATCAACACATTTTTATATAAAAAAAATTCCTAAAATACCTATTTGTAGCAAAATTACCAACAATATTTATTTATCTGGAGTTGAAGCCATAACATTGTGTTCAAAATATTTAGATTTTGGCATTAAATAACCCATAGAGATGTTGATATGCCACTTAACAAAATCAACCAAACAACCAACATGAAAGAACTCTATGACATTAATCCATAATATACAATTACTTAAAGAAATCAAACTGTATTCCAAAATATAACGTCAACAAAATTACAACATAAAACACACATATCACTGCCTCTAATAATCATGTCCCCAAAAAATGTATATGCACAAAAGTTGAGTATCATTTACCATGTATTCAATTGTGAAAGCAGAATAACATATTTTTATTAATTTAAAGCTCCCAAGAAAATTAAATTTCAACATTAAATGACCCATAAGGAGTTGATATAACGTTGAATAAATCAGCCCATCCTCCAGGTACTTAGCACTGATTCTGTCTGGAATTAAGTTTCAAAACCTTCATGTCAAAACGAGAATTTGTAAAGATTAGATTAAATGATACACGAAAGAGATGATATCGTTATTCACATTATTTATGCCCCCATCTTTTGTTGTTACAACATTTTAGCCACTGTGCCCTTCGTCATCTGCTTTGCAATGCAGATAACCTTTAGGGAAATTCAAACTAAACCCTTTATTTAATCGATTGGGGATAGACTTTTCTTGTTCTGTTCATCATGTTATTTTTTAGTACTGCACAGTTATTGCTTGCCTTGTCTCTAATCTAAGTCCACACTATGTGTTCCAGGGATTGAACTCACAATTACTCATATCACAAACCAATGCTATTTTCCACTAGGCTATTATTGTATCATGAGACAATCCTGAGTGTAGAATTTGGAGCTGTAGACCTAATCTGGTTGCTGTTGACACTGTTGCTGCTGTTTGTCATATTTGACTGCATTCACCAAAGCTTCTCTTTTGCCTGCTGCTGAAGTCTTACTGACAATTTTCTTTATTAGCAGCTCACATTTCATTTCTTTCTATGACAGGCCAACAGGTCCTCATAGCCCAGCATATATGTTGATTCTTTCAGATGTCTGACTCTCCAGTGTTCTTCCCTATCTAGTATTTTTAAATTCATTCCACAGGAGTTGGTGACTAACCTTTTCCATCTATACATGATCAGCCATGCCTGATTTCATTGTATTTCAACTTTTGATTGGATATGAAAGGAAATTTGTCTTCCTGATGAAATATTACAGCTTTTTTGATGAATTGCTGTCTTCATTTCTGATCCAGAAACTAGCTGAATCATTTGCTTCCCTGCAATGGAATCTGAACCTGTAGAAAACAGGCACCACCATAGACACACAACATTTTTCTTTTTCAGCTGTTGCTATGGTTAATGAGGGTTTATTTCACTTGCCCCTCTATGATTTTTATTTGAGTATGAGGATGAAAAGTTCTTGACTTGAGCAAGAACATCTTCCAATACAAAATATCTCTTTGGTCTTTTTGGAAGTAGGTTTGGCCAAGAAGTTTTCAGCACCTCCTCTACACTAGCGGATATTTGAGAGTTAAATTTTAACTGTAACAAACTTTGCATAAAAATATATTGCCAAAGGCTTTAGTATTTATTAGACTTTTGACTTGCATAAAAATAAAAAATACAAAAAAATGTTCTTGAATATATGGGAGAAGATGATATATCAATTTTTATCTATCAGAGCAATGTTAATGAAATTTATCCCTTTGTGTTATATTTTTTGTTGATGTAATTATATATGTGTATGAAGGGGAGGGGGAAATATAAGAACACAAACGTTGGCTATAACTCCACACAGCTCAGAAACTATACAATTTGAAACATTGATTTCTGTAAAAAAAGATACAAGTTTTATATTAAGAGACCAACTTTATTAGTATTCTTTTTTTTATAATAGTTTTATAATTTATATTATTATTCAAAGCTGAACTAATGTCCTCATCTTTGTTATTCACTACAACGTTTTGACTGCTATGTCCTCCAGACTTCTTCAGGTGTTCTCCATCTGGGAAGGCCTCAAAGAATTTCAAACTGGACCCTTTATTTAATCTACAGGGGTAGATTGTTTTGTTCTTTTTTTTAGTACTGCTCAGTTATTGATAATCCTGTTTTCACTGGGTCTGAATATGTACTACCTGGCCCAGGGATTGAACTCACTAAATTCTCAAACTGAAACTTTAATCCTCTCAGCTATTGTCTTATGGGACAATCCTGAAGCTAGAATTGAATCCTTAAACCTCAGGTTCTTTTGGCCACCTTTGCTTAAAATTTGACTCTCTCCACTGTCATTTATCTGTCTGTCTATATTAATGACTCGCATATGGTATTTATATCTATGCTAGGCCTACTGAGCAGGCTGTCACAGCCTAGCATATATGCTGATCCCTTCATTGTTCTTCTCTGTCTAGTATTTTCTCTTCATATCTAGACATGGACAACCTTAAATAAAGGAAAGTCCCTGATGGTTATCTGGATAGAAAGAACCTTTACAAAGACATAATGGCACAATGACCAAAATGGTGGGATAACAACAGCAAAGACAAGGATATTAGTCCAGGTTTTAAGTGTAACTAATAACTCCACATCCTAGAAATTCAGACAGAAATTATCTAATATTTTTATATAATAGATTTGAAGGTTATCAAATTTTGTTTAAGTAGACAATCTTTTTTTTTCTTAAATAAATAATAATTGCAACATATCTCCAAGCATTAAAAAGTTGCATTTGTCTTTTCTTTTTTTTTCAATTGCCTAAACGGATGTGTGGATAGTGCAACAGCTATTGATTCAGAAAGTGAAATTGGCAAACAGAGTTCAAATTTCAGCCTAGTCTGTTGCATTCACCTTCACAAAAATACTCTTGCAAATAGCATGAATCTATCTTTGAAACCCAGCTATGGGTTAAATAACAAAATAGACAGGGCTCTCTAGCAATGTTGTGGTAGGCATTGGAAAAGTGAATTCAAATCTGTGAAAACAGCAACAGGTAACCATTAGTATCTGTCTGATTTTCTAAGATGAGGTATTATGTACACTATTTACATTATTCAAACTATTGTCCTCATCTTTGTCACTATATTTATTACGTTTCAGCCATTGTATGCTCTGGCCTTCAACCTCAAGGACACATGGCACAGTGGATAAAGGCGTTGGTTAGATCCAGTGACAGGACCCAAAGAGTGAGTTCAATACCCAGTTAAGGAAGAGGGGAATTAACAGGAGATAACTGACATCCATTAAACATGGCACGTGGAACTAGAACAGTCTACTCCACTGAGCGAAATAAAGGGTTCAGTTTGACATTCCAACCACCTGAAGAAGGCCGGAACATACAACAGCCGAAATGTTGTAATAAATATGGCAACAAAGATGAGAACAATAGTCTGAATAATGTAAATAGGTAAGCATTATCATTGCCAAAAAGTCATTGTAATTCCCAGATGTTAAAAGAAGTTGTGGACAATCCCTTACATCCTGAAAGGACATGGCATTTTTTAAAAAAGTAAATAGATAAGGTTGCTTGTGTCTGTATAATATGTCAAAATACAAGAAAAATAAACCATTTTATAATTAACAGTTGATCTTACCATTTCCTTTTGATTTTTTTTTTTTTTTTTATATATATCCAATTCCAGGTTTATCATGCTTTCTACAAACCTTTAGAATATACAGTGCCTCAAAGGGACGCATCACAATGTTTCACAAAGGTAATATAAACTGTTACTCATTGTTAATTCTGTCTTTCCTTTTTGTTCTATGTTTCTTCCTGAACATCAATATTTTGTTGTCAATTTAGTTTTAGTAATCTTCCCAAATTTTCGTGCTTAAAATTGTCTAAAATTTTCCATTAATTTTCTTCATGAAACTTTTTTGTTTTATGCAATTTCTGTCCTGGAATTTATTTGGCCAAACTTTAGGAACTGACTGGATATCTTTGATATAACATGTCAACCAATCAGAGGGTAGCTGACTGCATATACATCAACACTTCGGGTTACTCAGTCCTTAATGAGATTCTTTGAGACTTGTGCAGGCAAACCCCATCTCATCACCTATGGCTGTCCAATTGCAGTGTTTCAGATGAGAGCCAAGGAATAGTCTGGGAATATGTCTGGAGAGTGAAAATCTTAAAGGAGAAACAACATTTTGGACCAACAGAAGTTGGTGTGGAATTGTTTGCTTAGCAAGGAAAGAATTGGTGAACATCAGACATAAAAGGAATTAGCTGCACAGATCCATATATGTTTCCCCTGCAATTGGAAGGGTTGTGTTCCTATGGATTCCCTGGATTCTTCTAAGCCAACATGACATAAACAAAGAAGTAATTACTATTAATTTATATTGGAAATATCACGTGGCTGGCTGACTAGTTAGAAGATTCAGTTTATGACTATGAAACCTGGGTTGAAATATCATTATAGATGATTTGTCAGGGAGGTAATATTATTGATATTATTGACCTGGGGAGGGAAGACAATATGTTAAAAAGGGGCCTGAAAACCATATCCTCTTGAAAGCCTTGTGAAGGAAATTCGGTAGATTCTTTGGAAGTTTGTCTATGTTTCTGAGATCAGGTATTGCAATTATTTACATTGTTCGGAGTGTTCCGCTCATCTTTATTGCCATATTCATGATGTTTCGACCATTGAATGCTCTGGCCTTCTTCAGGATCTGTCTATATTTTTGAAATGAGGTATTGTAACTATTTACATTGTTCAGACTGTTGCTCTCATCTTTATTGCCATATTCATGATGTTTCGACCGTTGAATGCTTTGGCCTTCTCAGAATCTGTCTTTATTTCTGAGATGAGGTATTGTAACTATTTATATCATTTGGACTGTTGTCCTCATCTTTATTAGCATAATCACAACGTTTCGACTGTTGTACGCTCCGGTACAGTGGCTAAAAGCATTGGTTGAAGTAATCCAGTTACTTGACCCAAAGAGTTGTGAGTTCAATTCCTGGCCACTGCTCATGGAAACAAAAACTAGGAGGGTTGAGTTACTAAAAGGGAAATAACAGAAACTGAGATATCCAGAAAAGGCATGGCACGTAGAACTAGAATAATCTACCCCAGGGTTTAGTTCAAAATTCCAACAAATATCACCTGAAGAAGGCCAGAGCATACAATGGCCGAAACATTGTGAATATGACGATAAAGATGAAGACAACAGTTCAAATAATATAAATAGTGTAAATGTTTGGAAGTTGTTGTGAGGACAAAATGTAGCCTATACACTTCTAACTTGAAACTTGAACCCTGTTCTTAAATAGTCCCATCAGATTAAGACTTTTATAAAAAAGACAGAGACAATTTACTTTCTCACCATGATGTGACATGGTTTCCCTCTGCCTTTTGTACAAATATTTTCATGGCAGCTGCTCTGTTTTTCTCTGACTACATGAATTTAAGCGTACTACTAGATTAGTCTCTAGGTCACACCCTTTTACTGCTGAAATAGCTAAATGGAACTGCCACTTCTACTTCAACAGTTTTTCTCGTACTTCCCACCTGTGAAACTTCCTTCTGTTTACTTGCTTCCCTGATAACTACAATCTTCAAAAATTTAAATGCAACATCAATTGCCATCTTGTATCTTCTTGAATCCCGTTCATCTTTTATCCTTTCCTCAATTCCACTTATACACAGCCTTTTCTCTCACTTTCACTCCCTGTAACCCCCTGCGTACTCATGGTATTCCCACATTGTTTGGGGTGAAATGATTAAAAAAAAATGGATGTCATGCATGATGCCAGACCTGTTCAGAAACAATTGTATACAACCACTTTCTAAGATCAATGATTAAAAATGACTTTGGGAAAGTGTCGTCTATGGCTCTTGGGGAAGATCATTCTCCTTAAAATCTTTTGGACTGGTACTACAGAATTACAAACAAAGAACTGTACCAAATAACAGAAATGACATCACTTGAGGACTTTCAACAGCAGCAACAACTAAAATGGATAGCACTTTGAACTTGAAAAGAAAATAATGGCATAACCAAGATGCTGACATTCCATACAACTTCAAACAAAAATTTAGGAAAGAAACCTCTATCAGTAGTGGAAAGAGTGATAACAGCTACTGGATCTGATAAACCTATTTTCCTGAAAATTTGTTTTAAGAGAGAGATTTTATAAATTTCAACTGACAGAAGCACTGGCTTCTTGGTTATTAAATGACAAATGTTTCCTTATAAGGAAACAGCTAAGATTACACTTAATGCTTGTTCAAATATACACTTTATGCCATTTTGCTTTAAAACAAAAAGCTACATTAATATAGAGTTATTCGACTGTCAGAAATGGTATAAAACAACAAAGCAATTAACACTGATATGGTGGGGGGAATGAGTGTTCCCAGACCCCAAATATAATTTTTATGTCTGCCTGCCTTACTGTCAAAAGTCAGGGTTCATCCTCTGCTATGGGTGATGAGAAATCAGACACTCTGCTTGACTGTTGATATCACCACTGCTTTACTGTAGGTACCTCCACAAAAAATAGAAAAAAAACGCAATACCTGAGGTTTAAAATTTTCTTTTAAAAAAGAAAAATCTTTCTCATCACTTTTATTTTAGTTTTAATTTCAAGCTAATAGATTAAATTTAATATTTCCAATAAGCCAAATAATTTGCTGTATTTCAAAAACTAATTTAAATTTACTGGAAGGAGGGTTTTTGAGGTTTTTTTCTGATTTGAAACAAATATCATTTACTTAAGGTTAAAATATTGCAGAAACGAATTTTTTATGCAAACAGTAGCTGTGTTTTATCTGCTATTAACCATTTTTATGTGTTTGACAAGCTGATAGAATTGGTAGTTGTTCTACGAAGACTTTATCTGTAAAATATAATTTCAGAAAATGACATGAGCACCTTTTTTATATCAGTTTTAGTACCCAGTAATCTTAAAAATTTAGAAAAAAATTCTCCATAATATAATTTTAGGAATGTTGACTTTAAATTTGCTATAGTCATCACTCTTATTTTCTGATAATGTCTTATATGGTCACTTTCACATAAAAAAAATTCAAAATTCTTTTAAAAATCTCAATGTTTGAAGACTGATATTAAGTTTTACCATTTATGATTAGTAAAATTAGTTTTCACTTAAAAATAATATCATCTAAAAGGCTGAAAGTAATACTGAATTTTAAAAGATTTAAAAATTAATACATTTTTTAATTAAAATTTTAAAAAAATGAAAATTCTTGTAAAAATTCATTATTCATTTTTATAGGTTGGAGTTACTACTACCACATCCAGTTGGTTTTGAATTCAGATTTGTTTTACTCTTTGACTGGCTACCAACCAAGGCTAGAGAACCCAGTTTGCTTTATTATTTAACCCATAACTGGATATGGATTCATAGCTTTCCCAATGGTATTTGTACAAAAATGAATACAACAGCTACATTTCTTACTTGCACCAGTTCAGAGCTTATAGCTAAGACCTGCCAATGCCATATACACAGGGTCAAATCATTCTCCGTTCCCTTCATATTCCATTGGTAAGGAGGAAGTTCCATTCAGAAACCTTTTTCCCAAGAACTGCTACTTTGTAGAACAGGCCTCCAAGAGAATACTTTCCAGGACACTACTCTTCATGTCTATGGTAAAACCATTATCTCCTTTCAACAAGCTCATTCAGTAACCCTCTAGTGGCTCTTGAGCCTTATATTGAGTAAACAACAAATAAAAAAAAAAAAACATCCTCTGTCAGAATTTGAACTTTGCTCATGAATCCAGCTTTCCACATCATTAATTCTTACATTATGTGAACATCCAACATGCATACAAACAGTAAATTTGAAATGGCTAAAAACATTTTGGATATTTAAAAGAATTAACTGGTCTTCTCATGACCATTAACGAGGCATCAATATACCATATATCTTTTTGTTCACATAATGATTTGGTTTCCAGGATGTTTCTGTTACATTTTTTTTTTTTTCAATCAGTTCACAAAACCCTTTTATATGAAATTAATAATAAACCCTCATTGTAACAATTTTAATGATTACGAGGCTCGTCTCTGTCAATATTCTTAATTTTTCAGTTCATTTGTATGCGGGAAGGAGCTGGAAAACTTGTGGGTCTTCATTATTTGGGTCCGAATGCTGGTGAAGTAATGCAAGGATTTGTGACTGCCTTTCGGTAAATTGCTTTTAAAAATTCCTATTTTTTTTTTACTGCCATCTTAGTGACAATGGTGATATTTAGTTATTCATACTGTCTGTAGATTTGGAAAAGTTCTGATATATTTGATGCATATCTTCTTGGTATCAGTTTAAACTGACACATTCTTCTTTTCTTTCCCAAATATCCAAATTAGAATTATGAAGAGTAAAAGTTAAACTAAAAAATGTTGGGAAATTTCCAAGTTTTCATCTGAAATAAAGAAAGTAGAAACTTTTAAGTAACATGATAACAATACAGGATTTCCTCAATCATCCAGGCATCTTTGGATAGTGGTTGAAAGAAATTTGTTAAGCTAATTCAGAATTCCTGATAATTGATTACCAAAGTTATCAGAAAAGAATGAAGAAAAAAATTATTTTCTAAAAGAAATTAAACTTTAATATCAACTAATGTTTACAAACACTTTATTTGATATTTTGTTCAGTTGATTTTTTTATGAAAAAATGCATCAGTGTTTATCTGTTTCCAGTTGGCATTGTATTTTTCTGCTGCTAACCACTAAACATGGATTAAAGTAGATGTATTTGTACGGATCTCTTTTGATTGAAACTAAAGTGTAACTAACTTAAGCATTTATCAAACATAATCATGGTCTCAATATTTGAAATTGAAATTTTAAATGTTGAGTATGATTTTCTAACTGTTATCCTCATCTTCATTGCTATATTCACAACATTTCGGCCATTGTACACTCCAGCCTTCTTCTTCAGGTGATTGGAATTTTGAGTCAAACCCTTTATTTCATCCGCCACGATAATGTTCTAGTTCCACGTGCCGTGCCTCTTCTGGGTGTTATTTCCCTTTAATTCAACTCTCCAATTTTTTGGTTTACCACTACTGTAGCCTGGTTTTGAACTTGCAACTCTTTGAGGACACATTGCCCAGTGCATGAAGACATTGATTAGATCCAGTGACTAGACCCAAAGAGTTGTGAGTTCAATACCAGACCATTTTCTCTTCATTTCATGTCAGATAGTCCAATTCCATAAAATGGAGGAAGTACTGTAGGTGATAAAAAGGACATCAGTTTAACTGCCAGAAGAATATTGGTTGATAAAAAAAAAATAACAAACAAACTTTGTAATCTTTTTATCTTTGCAGAGCTGGTGCCTCCATGACGACAGTAATGAATACAGTTGGTATTCATCCAACTTGTGCCGAGGAGATTGTCAAGCTTAATATTACGAAGCGGTCAGGGGAAGACCCACAAGTTACTGGTTGCTGAGGTTAAAGTTTCTCCATTTATCTCTGCCCGACTCTTGCCTCCCTTCTCAGTAGTTTGCATGCCTCCCCAGGGAAAACGTCTGTGCCTTGGCAACTTCAACTACATTAGGGTCTGGCAGAGATATTTGGAGTTATAAAAAATGTGCAGAATACATAGGACTAATAATTGTAGTCTGAAATACAAAACTGGATTGGTGTTGGGATAGATAGAATTTTCATCCCTATATTTGCTTGTTAGTATTTTTCTTGGAATTTGAAAGCTTGGTAGTTATAATACAACATGACTCTATTGGACAGATTCCACTTCTCCACATAAAGATGTAACACTGACAATAGACAAAAAATGCTGTCTTTTTCACACCTGAGTAAAACTTCATCTTATTTTCCTTTTTCAATATCTTGTGCATCCCAGACCCAGATTACTACATCTGGTAAGCTAAGGTAGCATTTGATGTTACTCTTTGGGAGTTAGCAGATAATAAAAATGTTGGGTCAAAAAAAATTTGATTGATAATATATTTTGTAGTTTTAGAAAATTTTAAAGTTCAATATCTATGAGAATTTGAATTTATAGTAGAGAGTTTTTTTTTTTTTTCACACTTAAAAATAATTTTTAGTCTTGACGTGAACAATTGCTAAAAATGTTGGGTCAAGTTGTTTTCTTCTGTAAGAAGCAAATCTGCCTGCGTTTTCTAAGTCATCTCCTCACTAAGGTAATATTCTGAATGTGTGCAAGTCAACATTAACATTTCTGAGGTTAGAAGACTTCAGTAAAGTTTAATTTGGTTGTACAAACTGGCAACAGTAGCTTTGCTCACTGCGCTGTTATGATAAAGATTTTAAAGTAATGTTGAAGTATTTTGATAATCATTTATGTAAAAAGTTTATATTCCAACTGATAAGAACAACTCTAAGTGGAGGAAGGGGTGTATCTTGAAGCCACTGTGTCGATTAATGAGAACACACTACTTAAACACTCGTGTTTAACATTATATTTTATTCAATTCCAGACTTTGTCACTTTATGTTGGTTAAGTAATACACGGGCCACATTTTTGGGACACTTGACATTGTGTATTGATATTTGATTAAGAATGTTTGAGTAGTATCTTGAGATTTATTAGAAATAACCGTAAAAATTACATGTTTGAATTTCCTAATGAATCCTAATTCTTAAGTTAATGACTGGATAATACATAGGACTAATAATTATTGTCTGAAATAAGAAACTGGATTGATGTTGGGATGGATAGAATTTTCATCCCTATATTTGCTTCTTAGAATTTTTCTTGTGGTTTTAGCAAATTTCAAGACTGAAATACCTGTAGAAACTCTGTTATTGTCTTGTTGAATAGTTGAGCTTAACGACTTTAACAAAATATTACAATAACAATCATAAGTATGCATGCAGGTTGTTATTTACAGAAGTAAGAGGGTACAAATGAAAAGATTTAAAATTGACATGTTTTTTTTTTCCATTTCACTGAAGAAGACATTAAACACATGAGAGCATTATCGTCTCTTCTATCTTCCCATTCTTACTTTCGTTTCCACATCTTTCCTTTTCTATTTCACTGAAGCAGACATTAAACACATGATAGCGTTATCGCCTCCTCTATCTCCTCCTTTTCCTTTTTTTTCACTGAAACCAAGCAGCATCTCTGTCTTTCCTGACAATCAAGACAGAATAGTCCATTATTTATTAGGTATAATAACTTAGTAATTAGGGAACAGGCTGAATTATAATGTTTTATTCAACTCCGAACTTTATCAATTTATATTGTCCAGTGTGAAAGTGAAGACCAGTCATCTGAAAGACCTTACAATTCTTATCCGAGAGACTGCCCTTCTCTTCTCTGAAGTGGGTATTTATATATCTCTGATACAGTTTTTTCCTGCACAGGCATTCCAGGTGCACCTGGTCTGATCATTGTAGGATTCGACCAGGTGCACCTGGGCTGATCATTGTAGGATTCGAGTCAGTAGTCATGAGTCACCTGTCAGGTCAACCATGCATCTGGTTTCTCTGCAGGACACTGAGGGCAAAGTCTATTCTGAAAGGATCTCGGATGAGACACAAGTGACTATTACGTTTACGTTGCTGTGCCAGGCAAGGCTAAGCTTAAATATTTTATATCGGCAAATGAACTGTGAAAAGAGGAAACCACATTAAAGATTGATTTGACGCAGATAAAAATGAAAGAAAAATGTTTTTTGCCTAAAGGCGTTTTTCTTTTCTAAATCTATCTCTAAAATCTATATTTTACAAGCTTTCATATTTTTATAATATTTAATTTTGTAAATCGGCAGCTTTTAAAATTGCAATCTATTTTTTCCGACACTATTTGAAAAACATTGAAGATTCATTTTTTTTTTTTTTTTTTTTTTCTATGTTCATACAGCTGAATATTTAGCTGGACTAAAAATAATATTTAAAAAGCTATATTTTTAAAAAAAATTAGAACCACAAAAACAAACTCCTCAATTGATGATAAAACTGTGACCAGACAATGGAGGCCTTGATCTTTTCTTTCACTGACCAGACAGTGATTTCCGCATTGATTTGCTTTTCTTTTGTGTCGATGTGCATAAAGACAGGAAATGACTTGCAGCATGTTCACAAGAAACAAGATGAAATTAACAGCAAGAAATGAAAACACAAATCACGTTTTCAATAATTTGGCATTTATTTCAACAAGATTCTCTGGTCGAGTCTAGTATTCTCTCTGGTAGTAGGTAGGGGTGGCACATAGGTCCCTTAAAGCCTTTCTTCTTACATACTGAGCAACTGCTAACATGACTGGTTGAGCGGACAGCTCCTCTCTCAATCCAGCCCTAACTGCAACTCTACTCATATAAGGCTGCAAGCAGAATCATCCTGTTATGCTTTTCTTCCCCTTCAATCAAGTGGATTACTGCTTTGAACCTTCAACTTTAAAGTCTTTAGCTTCCAACCAATAAAACAAAACCTAACACTTCTGATTCTGATAACATCATTTAAGGCCCACTTGACTACATGTGTTTGCCACCAGTCGCATAGGGGACCCCTTGTGACACAAAACAGTATTTGATTTGACAGAAATTGCAGTTTGTTCTATTAATTATTTCAATATTAGCACCATCCTTGGGATAAACTGTTTCTTGTTGATTAAACATTGATGACTGTCAATCATATTTTCTTAGAGTTAACTTTATTTACATTTATAACAACTATTTCTAGTCCAACAGTTTCTTTTCTTGCACTTCCTGCCTGTGGAACTTCCTTCTGTTTACTTGCTTCCCTGATAATGACAATCTTCTAAAGTTTAAACGTCAATGTCAATCACCATTTTTGGCCTTCTTTAATCCCGTTTATCTTTTGTCCTTTCCTCAATCCTCCCTATACCCAGTGTTCTCTTTCACTTTCATCCACTGTAACCTCCCTACGTACTAGTGGAATAACTACCTTCCATGGGGTGATATGATTAAAAAAAAAAAAAATTCTTTTTACTATACATTGCTGGTTTATTGTTTGTATTCAGGAACTTTGCGAATACATAAACAAAATTGCCGCCTCCACTACTGCAAATCCGCTTGTCTACAGTTGCATAAATAACAGACACTATTTACAATTCTCGCCTCCTAATTGTTTATCTACTACTTGTTCTTTATATTCACTGCATGTGTCGACTGAGATCATTAAAAACTGACTGAATTCTTTATGCCAGTAACTGTTTTGCTTCTGCAAGCCAGATCACATCAGATTTGAATGACTCCATCTGAAAGACTCTCCAATACATATCTGCCTTGCTATTATTCCTGTATAAAAGGTTTTGGTCAAGAAGAAACAGGAACCTGTGGCAAATATAGCAAAATGCTATGTCTAATCCATCAATGTGAAACACTCACAATACAGAAGAATTATTCAATGGTCAAACAAATTAATATTTTTCCAAACCTAAAATGCCAGATTTAGTCCACTATTCTTGGTTTAGGCTTTTTAAGATCTATTTTAATAGAAAGTAACAATGAAACAAAACATTTTTATTAGGATGCTTTCATTGTTAAAAATTTTTTTATAAAATGGGATGAAATTTTTTTTTTTCGATGTTTTCTGCACATTTTAATCATTTTGGGGGGGAAAAATGTTCGGTTGACACTGAGAGGACAATCTTACTAACAATCTTTGCATGACTATCAGCACATCCTTTCATTTCTTTTTAATTATTGCCAAATATAAGATATGAATATATACCTGAGTAGTAATTACAAGTGGTTTTCTTTCTTTCTTTAATATATAAAAATAAGTTTGTGGCCACTTGAAACTCTGAAAATTATTTAAATGCTTAAGATTATTTAAATATATATAAATCTGGTTTGTCAATGTGTGTCTGAATATTACGTAAAACTCTAACATTAATAAATACATTTTTCTCATTTACATTGTTTCTTATATTTTACCTATCTTAACAGATTTACTTAACGGAGATAACTAATTTACATATTCAGTTTTAATAATCAAACTTTTAAAAGTAATTAATTTCCAATCTGGTCTTTTGTGACCTTTTATAAATGTTTACTTTTTTTTTGTTGTTGTTGAGGGATTACATAATTAAAATTTTTGTGATTCAAATAAAGCTCTAAATGTGCGCTAACCAACTTAGCATTTAGATCACAGCTTAAGAGTAAAGAGAAGTGAACATTATCTTTTTTATGGGTCCTCTATACTCTCACACACACACACACACACACACACAGACTTATTTGTGCCTTTAAAAGATTTAGAATTACTGTTTAGTCATGCTTAGCTTTGTCAGTATTTTTGTTTTAATAAAAGCAATTGCAGTTTTTCTTTTCTGCTGTTTGTAATGATAGTTTGTTCCTTAATTCTATTGGAATGGAACAAATTGGATGTTTAACAGACAGAAGCTCAGTTAATCTCAACATTTTTTCCTCTTTTCAAGAGAAACATCTTCAATGTTTTTCTTTCTTTCTCCTGTGATTTCATAGAAAATAAAATTAATAAAAAAAAATCCTTGATTGGACATAGAGAAACTTTTCATTGTTGCTTGTAACATTCTCAATTTATAATTTAATAAATTCTTTTTTTGTACATAAAAAAAAAAAAAACATGGTTTCCTTTTTATTTATTTATTTTGTTTTAATGAATTTTTAATTTAGCAGCATCTTGATATCCGATACTGGAAATTTTATTTTGTTAAGCTAGCTCTATATAAGGATTGAAAGGTTTCATTTTTACAGTTTATCAACCCTTTCCAGGTTATCTAAAGCCAGAAAATATTTTTAGATTGTAATAATTATAGTGATGCAAGTCTTACTAATTAACCTATAAATGAGGGGAGAAGAGATAGATTCCTACATTTCCCAAGGGTAATTGTACATAAGTGAATATAATGAACCCAACTGGAATTGGAACTCGGCTCTCTGATTAACAATTCTGAGCTGTTATCCATTACACCACCTGCACATCCAAGCTTACAGCACCTGGTATTCACAGACACCCATCTAGGTATTGACCAGGCTCAATGTTGCTTAACTTTGGTGAATGTATGAGAACCGGTGTTTCAAGGCTATATGGCTGTAAGCCACTATATAAGGATTTATGATGAAGATAATATTTGCTGGTAAAACTGAATATTCATTTTAATTTTTTTAATCCCTCTGGTAGTTCGTTCTGTGGCCTCAACTGGATTAGTTTTGTTTGAATTTTTTTTGTTATATTTTTAATAGAAACATATCTTCGAAATAAGATGCAATAGACATATGAAAGTTAAGACAATGAAAATAGTTTCTTTAAAATCTATGGCATAACAAAAACACGTCTTAGAATTTTGGAAAGTTAAGATGTGAAATAAATTTCTTTTCTCCCCCTTTTTTTTTTTTTCTTATGGTTTTACAATGTGCATGGATGATGCTTAATAATGTTATGTAAACAATGGGAAAGTCCTGCAATGTTATTGGTCCTGACCTGGCATCTCAGCAGTCACTTTCCCACCTCCATAATGTAACTTCCCCGTGCATTTTCTATAAATATTTTCATGGTAATTGTTCTGATGAAGTTTCATCAATTGTACAACAGTTCAAAAATCTAAATTGTTGTTTTACTCCACTCCCCTCCCCTCCACAAACAAAAATTGTACATATGGGGACTAGTTAGGACTTCATAGAGACTCTGAGGTATTATGGTTGATGTAGTAAGAATGTTTTGTTTTGATGTAAAGATTATTGTGATATGTTTGGGTCAGTGATTGTGTTTAGCTAAATTTAATTATAACACAGAAGACCAACCTTCATTCATCCCCCCTCTTGGCCTTGTGCCTCATTTTTGTATTCTCTAACATTCAGTAACCCCATGTGTCTTAATGGCTTTATTGCCTTCTTTGGGGTGAAATTATTAAAAAAAAAACAAAAAAAAAACGTATGGGTTAGAAAAAAAAATTATTGTAGGGTCCTTTTGATATTAAAATACCAGAAAATTAGGGGAGAGCAGTTTTCAACCTTCTACCCCTTGTAAAAATGGAAACTGTCAGATGTGTTATCTAATAGGTCAAGTCTATTGGATTAAAGCATTTGTTTGTGAATTTGGTGTTGTAGTAATTGTGAGTTCAATCCCTGGACTGGGCAGTAGAGACTTAGGCCCAGTGGAAGCAATAACTGAGCAATACTAAAAAAGAACAAAAATGAAATATTCCATAGCAGGATAAGAACAGTCTAACCTTGTAGATTAAATAAAGTGTTTGTGTTGAATTTCCCTAAGGGTTGACCTAAATCAACAGAGAACAACTTATAGACTTGTGATAATAACAACAAAGATTAGAACATTCATTTGAATAATGTAGATAAGGATAACCTCTCATCCTAGAAATTCAGACAGGCTAACGTTTTCAGCTGACATGAAGGGGAAAGACTATATTGAATCCATTGCTAGGTCAGCAGTTAAGTAAGTTTTTTCACTGTGTTGTGTGAGACAAATTTTTTTCTCCAGAATCTATCTTACATTATTCGGACTATTGTCCTCATCTTTTTCGCCATATTTATCACAACGTTTCGGCCGTTGTACGATCCGGCCTTCTTCAGGTGGTTGGAATGTCGAACTGAACCCTTTATTTCGCTCACTGGGGTAGACTGTTCTAGTTCCACGTGCCATGTTTGATGGATGTCAGTTGTGATAAATATGGTGAAAAAATATGAGGACAATAGTCCAAATAATATAAATAATGTACATAATACCTCATCTCAGAAATATAGACAGATCTTACTTACATATCTATAAGGAACACTGATCTTATAAAACTTTCAGTTATCTGTTTGGATAAGTCTTGTTCTTATGTACATCGTCTTTGTCATGTTGAATTGATAATGTTAATTATATTTTATGAATATGTCCTGAAGATGGTTTATTAGACCGAAACGTCCGACGTTGACATTATATTAACATTAAAACAGCATAATTGCATATAAGGATTTTTGTTTGTTTTATCCGTATATTTTTCTTCATATCTATAAGTCTACCATTCATCCATGCTTAGAATATTGCATCCGCATATTGTCTGTTTTCCTTGCTATTTACCTTCAACTCCCTGATAAAATCCAAAGAATCAGCAATATTATCAGTCCTGATCTGGCAGCTCAGTTTCATTTTCCCATTGCCGTAAGATTGCTTCTCTTGTGTCTTATGTTTTCATGATAATTGTTCGGATGAGCTCTGATGTTGCCTAGACTTTTTGAATTTAAGCACGATACTAAACTAGCATCGAGATCTCGTCAATTTACAGTTGTGCTGGCTAGATGTAGCCATAAATTCTATGCTAACTGTTTCTTTTCTTGCACTTCTCGCTTATGGAACTCCCTTCTGGCTCCGTAATTTTCAACCAACTTTAAGCTGCAAAAATTTAAATGCAATGTCAATTGCTATCTACTGTCCTCCTGATTACTCTTTTCTCTTCTTGCTCATTATTAATGTTTCTGTTCCTAATTCTTCCACAGCCAGTAAATCCTTGGGTCTTAATGGCTTTACTGCCTTACATGGGGTGAAACTGATTAAAAAAAAAATCAGTATAACATTGATCTTGTTTCAGATCATTTATGTTCCTTTGTTCACTGTGTAACAAAGTCTTTTCTTGGTTCAGAAAATATTTTTAGATTGTAAGAATGATAGTGATAAATGTCTTACTAATTAACCCATAGCTGGAGGAGATGAGGTGAATTCATACCAATCGTATTTTCATGTAAGTGAATATAAAAAACCCAACAAATTGGAACTCAGCTCTCTGATTTCCAATTTCGAGCCGTTGTCCATTACACCACCCACACATCCAAGCTTACAACACCTGATATTCTCAAGTGATCACCCATCTAGCTACTGACCAGGCTGAATGTTGCTTAAGTTTGGTGATCATACAAGAAATTACTTCCTATATAATGCAAAATTCACGGAAGAAAAATCGAAAAATCAACAGAAAATAATAATCCCAACAATCCTGACAAAATAAGGCACATAATTCTACCTGATAATTCCATAAGAACCACCATCAAAAACAACCAACCTTGATGTAAAATTCGTCAACATCACCTCTCTAAAACAATAAGAGATGAAGTTAGCACCAAACTAAATAGCAACAACAACAGGACAGAAGCTGTGATATACAATATAAATTGTACAAATTACCCAATGATGTACATCGGTGAAACATATAGAAATCTCTAAAAAGACTATATGAGTACTGCTGAGATATGCTGCATAACAACACTTTGAATGCGCTTGTTGTTCAATTTAACACATCTGATTACAGTTTCGACTTAATGGTAAACCTACGACCAGGCTCATACATAATATCACCAATCAACGCAAAAGCATAGCAGCACAATGCGGTCTACAGAGATAACTGACCAATAACTGTTCAAATTCCTTCAACTTCTAAACACAACTTAGGACTATAAATGACTATATCTTGACGCCTCGCAATTACGTTATAGAAACCTCAATGAAATCAACTCAAACCCAAACCTCCAGCGGCAGTTGTTCTGTCACGAGTTTGGCCGTATTAATCTTTTATCTCATTATAGTCTTAACTGACAAATAAGGAAATGAATTATAAAACAATATTTATTTCTGTCTCGCAATTCTTTAATTTCATAAGAATATGATAATTTAGTTTAATTCGTAATTTCCTTAAAATAGGTTGTAAATATTAGTTTGGGTTGTGAGCACGTAAGGGAAACAACTCAAAGATATTTATGTTGAGTTGCTTCCCTTGTTTCATAATTTTATTCGGTCAGTTATATGCAGTAGTTTTTCATATTAAAGAAGATTCATACCTTTTCCAAGGGTATTAGCACGTAAGTGAATGTAATAGATTCGACTGGAATTCGAACTCGGCTCTCTGATTCCGCTATCCATTACTCCACCGCACCTCCTCATAATTTTACTACTTTTTTTCTATTTGAGGTAAATAAATAAAAATGGTCGTTTTTTATGTATTTGTGTACTGTAAACTCATTTCCAGTTCAATTTTGGCTGGTAGATTGATCAATGTCTTCGACTATTGCTGTAGATATCATGATGTTTCCCTTGTTTTACCATTTTCGTTCAATAAGAAGCTGCTGCATAAAGTATCAGTCTTTAGTTATTCAAATGATTTTTAATTTTTAGTTAGTCTAAATATAAACTCTATTTTCAATAGAATCATCTACCCACATATATACCATATTTAAAAAAGAACCAAACTTTATTTTCTGCCCAATAACAACACGCCAAAAAAGATTCCACAATACACACCGTTTTTTTTTTTTTAAATCCAGTGTCTATTCAGTTGGTTAGAAATTAACACCACGATGTGAAATATTTGACTTATCAGAAAAAAAAAACTAAAACCCTATTTTTCTTGGGCATACTTTCGGGGAAATTTTCTTATAAAAACCCACGGATTTTGACTTTCAACAGCAGAGATGTGACTATCTCCAAGCTATTCAAATACAAGAGAAGACGTGCTTACATAGCTTTTTCCTTCCCTTCCAGCTAGTGCTGTAAGAAACGTGGGTTGGCGAGTTTAAAACGAATTGTCAATAACAAGAAAAGCTGTGTAGGGGACTGGAGGTGAAGATGAAAGAAAACACGTGCGTTTATTTTTCCTGCTAGAAGAAGGTCTAGCCCCAAGAAAATGTCAGACTTGAATTAAGTCCAACGGAAGATAAAGTAGACAAATAAAACCAATATATATATATATATATATATATATATATATATATATATATATATATATATAAACAAATATATGTATTAACAACAAATTACAAAGCACATAGACAGTTAACATTTGTTTTTGTGTTTGTTCTTTGGTGAATGTTCGTATTTTGGTGAATGTTCGTACGTACGTGTATGTGTGTATAATGTTCATGGCGTCTCCCACAAATGGGAAGACGCTAATTTCTAAGAGAACTTACATTATAGTCGCTGAAATGAAGAAATAAAAAAGAGGATTTAACTCACCTCCACGCGAGGTGGGATACGGAACTAGGCCTGAAGGACAGAGAATGAGGCGAGAAGTCGCGCAGCATTTATAGCATAGGGAGAATGACCCCT